GACTATATCATTGCGTTTGAATTATAAAAAAAACTACATTTTCATTTTCATACATATGATATTTTTTACTTGTGGCCCAAAGGTTATGGGAGGTCATGTTACCAGGGGTATTTGCGGTTGTATTTTAGAATTTTAGATAGTTAGCTCCATTAAGAGCATGCTCAGTTGTGTATTAATTAGATAACCATATTTGGTTTGTGTCAAATAACCAGCCATGGACTACAACGAATAGCACGAATAGGAATGTTTTCTCCGCGTGTTGTAGTCACATGTGCACATGTCCCATGTTCGAAAGAGGAAGTGATAAGTTAACTTCGGTCTTGAGATATATAGCTTCCCTTTTCAATATGCCACAGCACTTCTCCTGCATGTCATTCGATGCATTAATTTGAGTGTTATGTCATGTATTTCAGTGTTTATATTTACAATGATATCATTAGCATGCTTAGATATAATGTCATCATTATATATATTTTTGTGTGTTTCCTTTGCCATATATACGCTATAACATGTAACCTTTTATATTTGCTTTATTGTTTAATTTATAATGCTTGTGATTGCTTTATAAATTTATTTGTTATTTGTTATACTTTATTTATTACATGATGTTGCTTCGAGCAAACATCAGAACGTATTCCTCAAACACTCTGCTATTTACAGCCCTACCTTCCTGGTAATATATCATATCGTTGTTTGTTTTTATTCGATCCCTGATCGCTTACATTTGCGATACGTGTATACCGTTCTAGAGATGATAAATGTATCATTACTTACTCGACATTGTTACTGTGTTTATATGCTTATTGTTATTACGTTATTTGCTTGGTTAATTGAGAGCATAACCCATACAATTATTGACTTCATTGCAATTGCGGCAAATACAATAGCTAAATTGCAGCGGATTTCTATAAGCTTCAATGGTTCCATATTCACTTTTCCGTCTCCCTTGTCAGATAAAAACTTTGGAATTTATTCCAAGTAATACTCTACAACCACATACGTTCCCGGTGAGTGCCTACACAAAGCCATTATTTGGATTTCTAACTTTCACTATTCAGTAAGCAATAAGCATTCATTGTACAGCGGTTGTACGTGGATTATTTCTAGCGATGCTACTGGACTTATTATGTACATTTTCTTCAGTTGATAATTAATGCACTGAAGCTGTGCATTATCTGATAACGAAGTGAGTTTGTTACCCCTTAGCAACCGCACTTACCCGAAAGCTATAACATACATGTAGAATAAAAGAAGAAAGGTACATTACAATTATCTATTTAATAATTTAATAGGAAAATACACATTCAGCTTTAAAAAACACCTTAGAAACTCGTAAGAACAAAGTCATTGCCTACGGTGACTTCTTAGATGCCTGGTTTTGAATCAAACTTTATATTCTTTGGAGAGATTAACACAGCGTGTAGATTTGTACAACGAATATGGGTATAAGTCACGACTGAGTTTTGTAAACACATTGTGACACAAACTGTTTATCTCAACACATATATAATCTACAACTGGTCCAACAATGTGTGTACATCCGTCCTTGTAGAATACGGAAGTAAGTCACAACGCAAACAATGTCATGACATTACGTTTGCGTTATACAAATATTCCACTTCACACGATATATAATAATTCCACCTAAAATACTGAAGCAATTTTGAATAATGTATGCTTGCCATTATCTGCTAAGAACGCGCGTTTGTATAACAATTATTATGACTCTACTTTACATAGATTATAAGGGGGCATGGGTGACCCAGTCCCTTGGACACGTCAGAAACCTATGATTCTGGGTTCGAATCCCGGTTCGCCCCGATTATGTTTCTAGGTTTGTCAGCACCATACCCGTGCTCCTGGGTTTCACCGAAGTGGTAAACGTCTGAGACCTGCATCACTTCGGGCTTTCCTCCCACATGAAGCTGACACGCCATGATATACACATGTAACTGGAATTCTGTTAAAAGTGGCGTTAAACCCAACTCACTCACTCATACATTATAATGCATTGATCTTTATTGAAAATGGACGCTAGGTCATTTTGACTGTGTGTCTTACCTTCTGTCTTTATTGTGTAAACAACATTGGCCTTCTTACTTTGAAACATGTTAGCGTTATAAAACAACATATTTGAGGTACATGTATATACACAAGATTGAGTATAAACAAGGAGAGAGAAGCATCAGGAAACAGGTTCATATTCACGCTTTTGCATTTAATCAAAAGTTATACATATACAGACGTTAAAACCCCCCGTTGTTTTCCAGTGTACACCAGTGCACTGACTGTTTACATCCCTGTATTTGTGTTCAACATGAGCGTGCGGACAAGATAGGACAGCAGAAATACAAAGAGGGAGGAAAACGGATATGCGACTTTAGTGATGGCAGTGAGTAAGATATACAACATATCCAAAGAGAAAACGTTTGTGAGGTATCTATATGTACGTATTACAAATAAAAAGATTGATATTCGGGGTAACTTCTACAATTCAAACGTCTGTTCCTGTCATGTGATGTGGATTGCTTTTACTATGCAGGAAGTGTCTGTTATCATGGCACTCACTCGTGCCTGAACTGTTTGTTTAATGTTAGATTTAGGTTATTTGTAAACAGTTCTTGACAAACGAAGTATATTTGGCTAATTTCTAGGAACCTTATTAAAGCTGTGGAAGGTGAAAACGTTAACCTTTGCTTGTGAAAGTCATATTACGTATCTACTGATAAGAATATATGCACACTGAATCAGTACACACAATATCTAAGCTATAAGTCAAAAGGTTATACCAAAGTGTCTGAAATTGGCATGTTACAACTAAACATGATAAAATCAACAATGACGCTGCAGGACGAACAATATAAACGCCGAATATGTATACCCCTTACACAGGGTGGGAGGCATTGGTGTCTGTTTGGTCTTTTGCTGGATGAGCAATAAAACTAAATTAAAACAATATTTTAACCATCTTACATGACTAATATGAACTGAATATGATCCATATTTGAATCACGATTCTTAAGTGGGTTTTGTTTGAATTAGTTTTTAAAAGCTGATGGTTTGAAAGTTAAACTTGTTATGAATAAGTCGTTTGTTGCAATCTAAATATTAGTTTACCATAGCAACATGGACATATCGGTGTTTTATATAAACACCCATCACACACCACTAGAGCTTAATATGAAGCATCAACGGCAGTTAAGATCTGACGTATTTTCGATGTTTAGCAATTTTCAATAACCGACTGTTTATGTGCATTGAATGCAATATGGCTGATGAATGAAACAGCGCTACAGTTCGAGATAGGAATCTTACTTTCTATTTTCATACTAATAAGCGCGCCACTGCAGTGGCCAATGCTGTCATTGATGCAGCTTCGACTGGGATGAATGTCATACCAAAAAGGTAAAATTCCAAACGTCATCAACGCCAGAGACTGGACTAGTCTGGACTATTGATTTGGACATAGAGCGGAAGAGCAGGCTAGCAAAATCACCAAACCAGGTTTTAGCGAAAAGGGTAAGCAAGTCTACAGGTAGCAGTCGCCACTCAATTTGCATCCAAAAGTTTGTCTGTTGCTTGTCTTTGTTTGTCTTGCGACGCTCTCAGTAGTACGCCAAATGACAGCAGCTTGTAAATGATCGTCTCCGTACCAGACAATCCAGTGATTGGTATTACGAGCAGATGTTTTTTTGCAGCCAAAGTTAGTGTAACATTGATCGCTGGAAGGTTGCTAATATGCTATAATGACGTTACCGTATTCTTGTGATACTCGTGTTTCTACTTAACAAGAGTCAGCATTTGAGTATACAGTGTTTGGATAATCTGATTACGTGTGGATTGGAATTCAGAAACAGTTTCCTGTGATAGTCCTAAGAACTGACTGCTTGGTTTCTGTGGGTGTACTTGCCGATGGGAAAGTTGAAGTCATCCTACTTGTCATACACTCACTCTGAATCTTTATGCATAGATCTAAATATGAAAAAAACCGAGGCAGTTTCACTGGTCTCTTATATCTAGGTCGGGTGAGTGAGTCAGTGGAAGGAAATCATCTATTTGACCATTATTGAATGATATCAGATCATCGAGATAGCTAAAGCAAAGTGGGGAGTACAACTGTTGCCCATGGTGATGCCTATTTCTTGCCTAAATGTACTATCTCCAAATTTCACACAGATGTGTCCAGTATTCCACATATTGTTTCCTCTGTTAACTTCAGAAGACAAATGTTTTCATTTTTCTAGGGTTAGCCGTGTGGGATAGTGATGTACAGAGTTAAAATATCAATCGTTTTGACATAATTGCTACCTTCAAAGAATCATTTATGTAATTAATCATTAACATTTAAGGTGTCAAACAAAAGATGGAATCAAATTTATCAGATTAACTAAACATCTTCTAAGATTGATTTACGTATGTTATTTGTAACTTATCAGGGTACACGGCGTACATAAATCAAAATTAACGTATCTTTTTTTTAGTTTCACCGTTTACATGCCGCCGTCGTATGGCAGGAAAACATATGTATTGTGTCAGGCAACAAACAGCTGGTGGGTGCTGCCAGTAGAGCAGGACATGCTTTACTTTTTCGCGAACATCTGGTGGCAGGCATCACTTATATCAGTGATCCATTCATGTATTTTTCACCGCTATTTTGCCTTTTACACCCAATGAAATCTGTATCGCCGGATGATCGAGGCTGCTTATTTTATTGTTTGCTAGGTCCATCTATTTCCATCTGTCTGTGTCTCTATTTAATCAAACTGCATTCTTGTCCTGTTGAAAGGCCGTCAATCCACTGCCTCTACGTACCTTACACTGAGAGAGATTCATATCGTCAGTAAAAAATTGAAAGGCATTTGAACCAGATACGGCTAAAGCTACACCCCAAGCTATTTGTTTGAACAAGGTAAGAGTCGAGATAAGCGACTGACATATGGAGAGTTCATGTAACGCCCTTGTCGCCACACAGGTATATTAACTTCCTGGTTACAGTACAATATGGCGTCTGTGGGAAGCACAAGGCCTGTCTTCTTTTCGTGGATCTTACTGGTTTTCATTCTCGCCTACCTTTGTAATTATTTTGTCATCACAGAGAAACTAAGTAAGTATACCTCGTTGTGTGTTCATATCTGCTCATGTCCTGACACTGCTTTGTAATTCGTGTGTAGAAGAAGCACAGGTAAAAACATGATGTGAATCATGATTATGCTTTGCTTTATAACAACATGTATCCTGTCTGAAATTGTAACAGGCACTGGTGTGTTCACAGCAAGTATTTGGCATTGTGAAATAAATAACCAAAAATAATGAATTCTCAAAATATCAACGAGTTTGCTTGAAGTTTTTCTATCTCAGAAAATTTAAATTCGGTCAAATCATTTGATTTTTTCACCACTATCCCACACGACAAACTTTCTTCCTTGATCCATGAAGGGTATGTCACTAAGCGTGGTGATCCTTGACATAGCCTCATCACTAGTAAATCAAATGTCCTCTGAAGTTTACTTACAAAACAATATATGAAGTGTCCAAGAAGTTTAACTTAAGGAACAGGTCATTTGATATTCTGGGGTGGTGGTGATAGTGGTGGTTGGGGGTGGTTTGTGAGGTGGGAGTTCCGGGGATTTATAAAATAGAATAATCCAGTGAAACCGCCTCATCTATTTCATATTCAGATTCATGAATAAGTCAGTGAGTATTATTACGCCGCTGTAGCAACATTCCAGCAAGACCACGACACGGAACACCACAGATGGGCTGTACACATTTACGAATGTTGGGAATCGAACCCAGGTTTTCGGCGTGATGAGCAAGCGCTTAACCGCTGGGGTACCCAACCATGAATAAGGATTCACAAAAAGCACTCCACAAAACTGTATGACAAGACTTCAACGTTCCAATAGTCCAGTTTCCCTTAAAGTCGAGCAATATTCCAGATGGTCCACACCTTCGGAGGTACAATCGACCATGCTTTTTCTTCGAAGATTTCATACCACTCAAACGTTGTTTGATCAGAGAAACAGAATTATTTCAGGCAGACACACAGACAGTTTTATTCAAAATGCCCCTGCCCCAAATATATACAAAAGTATGATCATGCATGCGCATTTTATATCGAAATTACGATAAGGAACCCATTGCTTTCTGAATGTAATATCCTGCAACCAGTACTTAAAAGCCTTTATATTAGTCATATATACAAATTGTAAAGGCATTGTTCCAAATTCCCGAAGAACCATGTGATTAAAAGTTGATCTGTCAACCATTAAACTAAATTGTCAACTTTAATATGTACTGCTTCAATTGTATTTCAATACGTGGTACCCCATTTTTCAGAATCATTACTGGTATTACCAAGTTTCGTTAGGTTATTATTGACAGAATATATTGGCCGTATTTGCTTGCGATACAAGACAGATCTGAGCTTTGCTCCAGATCTAAGGGGGTCTCTATAGGTGTACCATCATAAAACCACTTTATATATAACATTTAAGGGACCAACATTTCTCAACACAATAATCTTAGTGTTATTCAGATTTATTTTCATACCAGTATGTTTGAACTCCGCTGCCTCCTTCTTGGCAGTGACAAAGGGCGAAGGAGCTTCTTCCCCGAACGTTGATACCATGTCCGTATGGATGGCTGTTGGAGGTAGCCCTTTCAGTTCAGAGTTACTTGATGACGGTAGCTAGTTTTATACATTTTCATCAACAGAGAATACCTAGTCACTTTGATACCTGCAGACATCTACTCTCTGGATGTGAATATGACCCAAATGTAGCCTGTACGCATGGGAAGTTGTGTACTTAATACGTGTATACTATCAAAGGTGTACTCTACATCCTTAGTAGTTAGGCCCAGAACAGGAAGCGATGGTTGGTCAATCGCGCTCGGCATGCTTGGTCGATTTTAGGGTTCCAGCTCTGTTCAAGTCTGAACACAGGCTCCCCTTAGGCTTCTGTTGGAAACCTTTTCATGCAGCAGTGAATAGTTACCCCGAAGGATAAGATTTATTGTGAATGCAACACTTCTAACGCCTAACAGGCAACATGGGATGGTTACACCAAAGGTGGCTGAGAATGCAAGAGAAATAATATGGGATTGTGATATTTCGTGGGCCTCGTGGTCCTCCTGAGCACAGGCTCATAATTATCATCAGTTTGTACAAATGTAGTTGACGACTTCTTAGAAACGTAGGTAGAACATGCCTGCCAAATAAAACCAGCAATTAAACCAGCAATTAAACAAGGGAATATGTACACACAGCCACACAAATTACAAACAAGACACAATCTCCATAAATTTTGCATCGTAGTGATTAGAAGCCGCCACATTTTCACTGCGTTTTCACTCGGTTTGTTGCGATCTGAGTTATTTATTTGTGTTTGGTTCCATTGAAACTTGCCGCCAATTCGCAGAGGCTACTAAGGACAAATAAACCAGAACCTTTTGTAGTCTGGAATTAGTCCGCATGAATCACCCTTGCCTGATGCACTGCTGCTGATGCATGCGCGCCAGTTCCATCGCGAGTACAAAACTCGTGGGTTCCTAAACAAGTATTTTATTAAAATAGATAAACTATGCAAACCAAGTCGGGGATATTTTGTTTTGGGGTAAAGCTAATGGAAAAGTCAACAATGTCTGACAATGAAAGTAGTTTATTTATGTGGCAAGAACAGTTCCGAAGAAATCAAGCTCCCAAACACAACATTGTGACAGTCATGAAGCACGTGACCTCGGACAGCACGTGCAAGGGTTGGTATGCAAGATTGTCACTCAGACTCGGTTGTGAACAGACTCATATTGTATTCTTGAAACCAAACGCTCAAATACACTTTATTAAAAATATTTAATCATTAAGAAAACAACAACATTGATCATGCGACGTTTTTAACGTGCTGAACGTTTACGTGCCACAGGCGCGTTGCAGGTGGGCACACGTGACAGTATTGTTGCCAAAACATTGCATGATGGCAGTAAGAAATGGTTGCAAACTGCCACTCAGTTAAAGGAACCGTTGGCACCAGGCAACTGGTATAACTGAACATGCATGGGAGGTGCGAAATGGTCTGCACAGATGCGTGCACGATTTCCACGTGTCATCCTACAACTTACTGCACGTCTTTTGAATCAGAGGCGTCAGTGGTTTAGGGAGCGCCATCACTGGGATTTGTAGATCTTGGCATTAGGTGTGATTGCCTACTCCCCAGCAGATATGATCATATCATTTCCGTTCGCTAAAGCCATATAGATCAGAATATATGATGTCCACTATCCCCTACTTTTTTTTTGCAAAGAATAAACTATGAAGCCCTGAATAAAGATATACGTGTATATGTTTCCCCTTTTTGATTTTTAGTTTTTCTCATCAAAAAGGTTATCTACTTACTCTATCATGAACAGGTAACATAATGTAACACAACATTATACATATCATCTTCTCAGCATTTAGAGAAAATACACGTGCTCAAACCTTACTATGTGTCTTTAAACTTCTCTGCCGACATGTGTTTTCCGACATAATATATAATCATTCACTTGACTTGAGTGTCAAAACAAAAATACTTCCGTCAATATTCCAACTGGGTGTTGATTGAAATGGGGGTTCAGATAAATTCACAGAAATAATAATGGATCATTGGTTAAACAATTGTATGGCGTCACCAACGTGTTTAAATGCTAAATGTATACGCTAATAGTTCGTGCAGGAGACCCTGTTCTTTCAGATTCACATTCTGACGCCTGACTCATTTCATTTCATTCATGACATAAAAAGTATTCAAAACATAAAACTTAAACACAAAACATAAATCGACACCAACATTGTATTAAGTCCTTGTGTCCTAACTATATTAGACAAAGTACGCGATGTTATATTATTTAAAATTATTTATGAAGATGAGAAAAGGTATTAAAAACTTATCATTTAAGTATGAATCGCTCAAGTTCTTTGTGGTCTAGCCTAAACAAGGGGCGGTCGGGTAGCCTAGTGGTTAAAGCGTTCGATTCCCGACATGGTACAATGTGTGAAGCCCATTTCTGGTGTCCCCCGCCGTGATATTGCTGGAATATTGCTAAAAGCGGCGTAAAACCATACTCACTCACTCACCCTAAACAATAGATATAAGTGGACTGAAAGAAACGGCCGTAAAAGCTTCATATGTATACGCGAGCTTAACATGGTGATATGTATTGTTGTGTTGCAGCCTTCTGGTTGGACCCTGATGTCAATGAAGACACAATACAGGTAGACTATAACGTAGAGAGGACGACAGGTAGAAGCTGGTGGGATGCAGCAGAGTCGGGGTGTTCACAGTTCGGTGGGAACCTGTACATACCACAGTCACAAAACCTGACTGAAGACGTCATTCAAAGTATGGAATATATGACCTTTTACTGGATCGGAGCAGTGAAATATCCTGTCTGGATTTGGACAGGTAAGAATTAGTGAATACTTAATTGTAGATGAATCACTTTAATATAATAGGAACCACTTTTCATACATACAATGTACGTGTTGTTTGTTGGTTACAGTACTTGTGTTAGTCACTATTTCATACTAGTCTATGGACCCGTGAAGATCCAGGATAGAATAAGTCTTCAGCAACCCATGCTTGGCGTAAAAAAACGACTATGCTTGTCTTAAAAGGCGACTAACGGGATCGGGTGGTCAGGCTCGTTGACTTGGTTAATGCATGTCATCGAATCCCAATTGCGTGGATCGATGCTCATGATGTTAATCACTGGATTGTCTGGTCCAGACTCGATTATTTACAGACCGTCGTCTTTTAGCTGGAAAGTTGTTGAGTGCGGCGTAAAACAATAGAACAAAAAATATCATAATAGTCATTGACTCATCATAGATTATTTTCTAAACGGATTACCAGCTACTGGCATTATTTGCCTGTATATTGAATATATATCCTGATTTGTTTGCTGAGATGGCTAGATAAATACAAGTAAAGCTCTTGGCTTATTTTCTAAAAAGGAGTCCCAGGTAAGGTGTGTGAAAGGTATTTCTTTAATGCAAATCTATATGCATATTATTAGGCATTTTCAAATTGAAGAGGCTCTATATTGAGCTGAACGTGATCAACGTGGAAATCTTCAGCTTTCTCTGACGAGCCTCTTCAGGCCACAGGTAACCGATAATGCCGTGCGTGACCTTAACGTTACAGAGAGAAAAATGTAACGTTTTCGCCACTCAATGGAGAGGTTCAATGCTCAGAGTTCAACATATACTCAACAACAAAAGTCCTTGTGACACCAATATTTTAGTGCATTTTTCAAACAAGTAAAGTTTGTTTTTCAATATTGTAATACATGTATGGAATCAAGTCACAACAGCGCAACAGAAAAGCATGCATTCCATGCAAAAGTTGACTTTTAGGCAAGCTCCATGCATTTCACTACCCAAGAATGGGTATAAAACATGTGCGTTAACGGGTTTCCATATGCATTGTTTAGCATCGTGCTGACAACAACCACTCAGAAAAATAACAAAACTACGCAATTATTCAACATTACGAAATGCCACGCCTGTCCGAAAATGAGCGTCTGCGAGCTATTGGTATGCTTGAAGCAGGATCGAGTCAACGTGATGTTGCAAGACAATTTAACGTCCACAGAAACACCATTTGGTGTTTATGGCAACGTTGGCAACAGACGAATGCAGTCAGAGACCATCCTCGGAGTGGCAGGCCACGCGTAACCAATAATCGACAAGATAACCCGATTCGAACAACACACCTACGAAATCGATTCCAGAAACAGTGGCTGCAAGAAGCATCCTTGGCCTTCGACGAATATCTTGACAAACCGTACGTCGTCGCCTCAGATATGCAGGGATTGTCGCCAGAAGACCCATTGTGACAGGAAGCCACCGTCAAGCACGTTTACAGTGGTGCAGACAGCGTCTACGCTGGACGGCCATGCAGTGGGGACAAGTTCCATTCACTGACGAGTCTCGTTTTCACCTCAGCCACAACGATGGCCAGATTCGAGTGTACCGACGTCGAGGTGAACGTTACGCCAATCATTGTGTTATGGCAGAAGATCGGTTCTGGGTCGGCAGCGTTATCGTATGGGGTGGATTTACAACAAGACAGAAGACCCCTTTGATAGTGGTAGAGGGAAATCTTAATGAACAGCGCTACCGCGACGAGATCATCGGCCCTATTGTTCTACCGTTTTTGCGTCGTCATGGCCCAGGCATTACTTTCAGTATGACAACGCCCGGCCTCATATTGCTCGACTTGTTCAGGATTCTCTTCAACAAAACAACGTGAATGTCATCCCCTGGCCGGCTCGCTCCCCTGATCTCTCACCAATCGAGCACATGTGGGATGAGATGGATCGGCGCCTTCGACGTCAACCACGTGTTCCACAGACACTCCAGGTACTTCGAAACATGCTCCAGCAGAAATAAACAGACTTTGTGCAACGCCTGGTCCATTCCATGAGATGAAGATGTGTTGCTTGCATCGCAACAAGAGGTTGACACACACGCTATTGATTTGTAAATTGACATTTTGGCATGTTCCGGTTTTTGTATCAAATCACGCATTTTCTGAAGTCAGAATGGCAAATTAAACCATTTGAACACTTACAGGATTCTTTTATCTGTTGCAAACCGAAATTGTTTCAGATTTTGGTAAAAAATCTGATTCATTGTAACAGGAACTTTTTTGTTCAGTATACATTATAAAGCTGATCATGTTACCACATTCAAATTGTATTCAGCTGCATTCTTTTGACAACAAGTAATGTACTCTCAGTCCTTCAAATGATAGCACATACTCCGATGCAATGCACCAACATAAGTCGAAATAATACATTGTTTACGTTTCAGCCGACCAATCGAACTTGTACACTTATGAAGGCTATTTGTCTTTGCCTACATTTAAGCCATATTCGAGATTGGAAGGAAATTCAGTTGTAACCTGACATCAGTATTGCAAGAGGCAAACAAAACTTGGTCTACGGGTGAGTGTTGAACTCTCGTTTGATAAAAGTATTTGTCTTCAAGAAACTCAATTTAAAGCACTAAATGCTATTAGTCATTGACAACATTACCAATACTCAACTTGACATCAGTTGCGAAGCTTACACTCTCAGTCCACTGCAAAACAGACATCAAGCCACCCGCTGTAAATGAAGAGGTAATAAAATCGGTCCCTGCTTCTGTAATTCTTGAGACATGAAATATGTCAAACATTTTGCAAACTTAGCGCGCACGGGCGTCCCATATGGTTTGTTTTGTTTGTTTGTTATTTAACGCCGCATTCAGAAATATTCACCTATATGTCGGCGGCCTCTAAATAATCGAGTCCGAGCAAGAAAATCAATGATTGATATTGTGACCAACTATCCACGCTCTCGGGGAACGATTTCATGCAATCACCTAGCCTAACCACCCGATCCATTAATCGCCTATTTCGACCAGTATAGGTTTCTAGGGATCTATCCTACCCGGAATCCCCACTCGGGTCTTCCATATTTACAAACAAGCAAGAAGATATCAGAAGAACAGAGTCTAGGTAAACAGGGTGGTTGGGTGCAGCTTGAACGAATAATGGTTGGAGTGTCGAGAATGCGATGAACTACGTTCTTTGATGAAGTAAGCAGACTTATACAAATACAATATAAAGAAATCACACCTGGCATCCCTGTCCTAATCGCACATATTTTGTAGCAGTAAATTATATTATAGTAAGGGCTACCCCCTTTAATGTGGGTGATACAAGCACTGTCAGGACAGCTAGCAAATAAATACATGAGAGAATATGGAGTGAAAATGGCCCAAGGGGTGAAGGGGGGATGCAGAACGTGATCTTAAGTGAACCTTAATGCAACCACCGTCACATCCAGTGAGCAATGGGATACTGCGGTCACCAAGCAGACGCGAATTCACCCCCCCCCCCCCCCCCCCCCCCACCCCCACCCCCCAACAACACACACAGACACGGACACACAGACAGACACACAGACACACACACACGCGCGCGCGCGCACGCACACACACACACACGCGCGCACGCACGCACGCACGCACACACACACACACACACACACACACACACACACACACACACACACACACACACACACACACACACACACACACACACACACACACACACACACCATGCCCACCGGTCCATATGTACCTGTGCGTGATGTAAACTTTAAATTCTTATAAACAGACCTGTGTTGTGGAGGCCCCACCCTATCAATCCCATTACCCGAGCCCACTCGCCAAACCAGGCGTGATGTGGGGAGGAGCTATTGCAACTGTACAAGGAAGCCCACATCTCGTGGTACACACTACTTATCACAATGTAGCCCTGGTCATTGGAGCCTTGATGAATCAAAACACCTCATTGAGGCTTGCTCATCACAACCTGAGCATCCACCAGATCGTATCCCTTGTGCTGGCCCAAAAGACACTCTCCAGTAATTTTCAAACGGCGGCCGTTGGTCCTTGCCATGGTTATGTAGCTGGACCTGATTACCCAGACTAGAACACACAAAGAAACAAGGCATTCTTACCCTTGTGTCAAAGTGCAGATTATGTTTGAAGACTAGGCATACACGTGTGTGTTTTGTAGCATTGTGATCCCAGTTACCACAGTGCTTGATTACAACAGTCTACCTGCCTTGGAACACAGCAAACATGACATCATTTTTTGAACCAGCTTCTCTCCTCCCATATTGATGTCATGTTGATGCGGCCTGTATGGTGACGTATCAATAAACGTTGCATAACACATAAACTTGAATTAACCTACAAAAAATAGTATACTATGAATGACACTGTAAATTGTATGTGATATACTGACCTCCATCAAGGCTGTATCCAATTCAAGGCCATGTGACCGGGCCGGTACCAAGCTCCTGAAATGTTTGCAGGCACGTGTCATTGTCACAATCTGATTGTTCTCTGGAATGTTTTCACAAACATGTACCCCCAACACATTAACATGTCATACCTGATGTAATCTATCTTAAAAGAGTTCAAGGTCCTGGGATTCGAACTGCATGGCATATCGTTATTGATTCCGAGCTCGCTACCAATAGGCCGACACGAGATTTAGAAATGGGCTTCACCCATTGCTCCCATGTGTAGAATACAACCCAGGCTTTCGGCGTATGGTATCAAATAAACACATCACCTTTTGTCTCATTCGAATCTTATTTACATTTGAAGGGAAACGAATGCTACTGTCTGGGAGACTTCGTGTATGGCGTACAGCCTGTTCACTCTGGAGTGAGATGTCCAGGAAACTATGACGAATACTGCGGTGATGAACATGGGATTTCTGTGTACAAACAAGGTGATCACTAAGGTTAACGACAAGACCTTCGATTAATATTAATATTTGATTTGTATGTTATACCATATCATCGCTGTTACACATTCTTTATACATAACTGATATGGGTATTATGGTAACATTATACAATCTACAAGATTATGACACTATCTAACTTACATCATCTTAGGGTAGATAGGATATAGACACCACAGTATTCGTGTTCTGTGGATGTGATAGTGACATCTGTAACGGCGGCAGAAGTCAAGGTCCACATAGCTGCCACGTCCAGGGGTAATATATATCTACTAAACTGCGTACGGTAAGGACGAGTTGCATGTGCCGTCGAGCATTTTATGGCTAGATTATTACATTGTGTTTAATGTGAAGCAGACCAAATGCGGTTCACCTGCGTATATCCATTTGTGTAGAAAATCGCTGTTGCCGGGGTACAACGTCATGTAAAAGTTGCTACCAGAGAGCAAGAACTTACGACACACGCAAAATTCTATCCTTATTCTAACATTCGTGACTTTAAATAAAACTTGTTTCTGCAGCTATAAGAAGTTGCCTCACAGGCTTTGGTGATAATAAGAGAATGCATCTTATGTATTGCTTTTTCAGAAAGCATCAGTGTTATTCCAAGTTCAAAAAGTAAATGTGGTTCTATCAGTGTGAGCAAAACAAGGCCAAATATTACCAACCCATATTCTTACACGCATGGCCTCCAAAGACCTACTACCTACTACCCTACAGTGTCCCTGGATAGCAATTGTGATACTAGCAGGAGATCAGCTTGTGAGAAGAACATTACCAGACACATTGGTAAGTGACCCAGGCTGACCAGAACATCCAATGCTGTTATATATAGTCACGTTTAGTTATCGTATATGGTGGTTGACAGTTTCGGTTGTTATAAAATATTTACTTTATACAAACACCTTAAAAATGGATTGTGCAGAAATTTATGTGTGTAATATTTTAAGGTCACATGACAATACCATATCTTGAATAGTCTCTAGATATATAGCAGCAGCGTTATGACCCCTCATAGAATAATACACGGACAATGAACCCTGTGAATAAAGTTTATTAGTCCACAATAAGAAAATAATTACTGAAAACAATTTCACCGAATTCCGAAATATTTTCTAAATATACGTGAACGTTTACATTACAAACTTTTATCATATGTATCATAGAGCAAAGATGTGTCCATAAGAAATGTATCTATTTAGTTTGCTTTATTACGAATCTATTGATTTACCTTGCTGTTTTACTGTTCTTGACTTCAATGTATATATAATTTGTTCTCTTCTCTATATGGCTTAAATATTCTGATAATTCGCTCGAAATGACTATTGACTTTTGTATGCCAGCTTATATTCTAATATCGCTGTAACTAATGTACAAAATATATGAACATATCTGTTTATGAATAATGATTACATACCAATATTTGATGTAACAGATGAGAACCAGATGACATGGACAGGGCCAAGGACAGGGACATGGACACGGACATGGACCTGTCGTGGAAATGTTTGTTTATCAAACGCACATCGTACCTTTTATGCATCAAACCAGAAGTGTGACTTGGTAAAAGTAACACTCCGAAACATCGACCATCTGACACAGGCAATAGTGGAACTGTTCTTGTACAGAGTAAATTACTGGATTGGTCTCAAAAGAAATTCTGTAAAGAAATGGAATAACGGTAAGTGTCACGCCATATGATCTTCATGATCCTTTCCCTGTGTGTGACGCGATTTCCCACTTCGGTGAAATTCACACAGATGGTTTTAAATTACTGATCAAAAGAAAGTATACATCGACTTGGAATGATCAAGAAACGAAAAGCAGAACATTCAAGTTTGATCATTCATCTTGTACAACAAGCCAAAATACTATTTCCTGATGAATTAAAAAAAGCAATAAAACCCATCTGAGGTCACGTTTGTCATTTTTCACAAAAGAAACCCAGATGAAAATAAAAAAACACAGCTACTGAATACTTCCATAGCACCTTGTTAATGGCACTAATATATTGTGTGACCTCAGGCGTCCAGATAGGCAAAGACACGACGCCTCATGGCGCTATCGGATGACGTCAATGAGTATGCGATCCCACTCCTCCAATAATGCACATCCCAGCTTTTGTACGATGTTCGGCAGGTTTGGACAGGTTTTGTATTATCTGTCTTCCAAGACGCATATGATACCAGAGATGTTCTATTTGTGAGCGGTCGGCTAAGGGTGACGGGCAGGGCAACACGGGTGAGTTACAGATGCTGAGAAATCCCTGGATGATTCGAGCAATGTGGGACCTGGAACAGTATCCCTTGGGGCTGTCTTCTGAGAAAAAGAGGGACAACTGGCTGTAGAATGACAACCCTGTTACGTTGTCCACGGATGATGCCTTCCTTTCACCACAAATCCCACCCCACATAATGACATTCACAGCTTCCAAAAGGGTCAACCTCTTGGATGCACCCAGGGGGCAATCGTTCACCTCTCCGTCGATATACAGGCCTCCGACCAACAGGATAGAACAAGTCAAACCTGAAGACAAAGTTGAATCAAATTGCGGGTCAAGGCCATTCCGCAGTGGGGTCTGTAGGCCCGCATTCCTTAAGCACTTAATTGTATTGACAGTATGTGTCTGCTAATGCGGCGTCCCAGTCCCGTCAACGGCAATGACGTCACCGCAGATGTAAAGTGCGCAAATGGCGGTCCTCCTGTGGGATGGTCACACGTGGCCAACCGCTTCGTGGACTGTCCCTGGTGTGCCCGATATGGTGGTGTCGCTGGCAATGGTCAGCTGCAACGGAGCGTTCTTGCGATGTTGATCCAGGCAGCCCCCATCAGCGCCATCCAAAGACCCCCAAACTGATAATCTTGGCGTTTTCCTCGCATTCTTTTATCAGCTGAGATGCTTTGGGGGCCAACCGCTTACATTTTATATCCTCTTTGTATTATCATCTCTCTCACCAAAAATACTTTCTCAAAATGGTGGTCTTTAAACAGTCAGATGATGTAGGGTGTGTTAGGGCAATTGTTTCCAACCTGCTTTCACATTTCCTAGATCCAAGGTATTGAAACCTATTCACAATCTCACATGTATTCTTTCTTTCGATCAGCAGTTTAATTAAAACTGACGTCCGTTATGAGCGAATTATCGACTTGAACGCACGACCAGCGGGTCCTGACGATTGAGTGCAAAAGGTCTCCGCATCCCATTAAATAACGGTTTCTTATCACGTCAAGAAGAATATTTTATTTTCAGAAAAGTTTTATTTGGACTTTGAATTTAACTTAATCCATATATTAATTCTGAGAATTACCAACACTTACGGAACACTCTTCAATACTTTCCAATGTAAAGGGTGTTAATAATATGCCTCCCCGCTTACATGTAATGCGAACTGATATTAAATAAACATATAATATTAAGAAAATGACAGATTACAACAACATTGTTCCGTCAGGTACTGATATGCTGCTCACAGCCGACGACTACTTCGGTGTTGGCGCTGTTCTACCTACATGCCTGGCGGTATGGAAAACGTACTACAACGGTGTACAGTTCCGCTGGTTAGAGTGTCAGAGAAAAAGCCTATCTATTTGTGAAAAAGGTAATCGGTCTTTTAACTTCTACCTCTATTTACACTGTGATATCTGTTTATTCCAACAACAATTAGACTTATATGGCTACATGTAAAAAAATATGTATAACTTTCCGACTAAATCCAAATTGCTACTAACTTGTCTGTATCTGGTGATTGTTATGTATTATTTGTTTCATGTGGAGGTTTACTTTCCAGCATGGTTGTACAGGATACGTATATTTATCCTTCAGTCACATTAAGAACAATAAAACCAACAACAAGGAGGCCAACACAATCCATCATTATGCCTACACTCTCACGCTGTATATAGTAATAGTGGAATTCAAACATTTATTACCTAACTATATGGTATACATTTATTAACATTTATCAAACCATGGTCCTTTTATCTTTGACCGTGCATAACTGACGGAATCGTCAGTTAAACACAATTAGGCAATAACGGAACTTTTTTTTTTCCTCCTTACCTTAATGCCAGAAAAATGTCATGCAAAACGTATGTCACCAGCTGAATTCGAACGCGCGAAATCCTCACCGAAGACTAACGAATGTAGTCTTATGCCACGGTGACATGTAAAACAATTGTATGAAATTAACAACGAAATATTTACTTACATTAGAACTAATAGTTTATCCGTTCATGAACTGTGTTCATGCAGTACGTTTTATTTTACTCAATGCATTGTGCCTACGTGTGATTTGGAAGTTTTTCGTTCAACGAAACAAACAGATAGAAAAGAAATTACTATTATCTTGATCAGGGCCATATTTGCTCATAAAAGGCCCATCGACAGGAGTAGTAATCTTTAGGTGATTGATACATTTGCTCGAGTCTAAAATGAATCCTTTACCAGCCCCGCGACATGCATTTCATAACCCAAGTCAGCAAAGTGCGAGGTGTAAGGTTCAGGAACATATGTCACATTCATCACGCAGGATCGACTCACACAGCGTTCTCACAGTAAAGTTTCGAGTTCCGGAATATTTTTCAAAATATCTTTAAAAAAGCAATATTTTTTAAAGATGTTTAGATGCCGTGAATATGGGCCATGGTTTAAATGCGTTAAACCAATCGGATTACGATGTTTAGTCATTGGAAATGGTCAGTTCCGCGCCTCGGGGTCTAACTAACCATTTCAATGATTAAACATCGGATCCTTATGGTCTAACTTATACTCGACAACTAAGTATATGCTATACAAATTTCATGATTGTTGAAAACAATGTAATATTTATCCTTCAGTGAAAGTGAGAACTTCAACACCACCAACTCGGATGTCGACACATTCCACCAACACGCCTACACCGCCACACATTGATCCTTTGTCAACTTCAGACGTTGTGCATCCCTCTTCCACTCACAGGACCACAACAAAGAAATCAAAACTGGAAGGTGTGGCCGACTCTGAACAACACTCGAACAACGGCAATGTTGGTAAAGGTTATTTGGTATCATAGCAATATATCTGGGATGATAAGAACTTAGATGTAAATCTCTCTGTCATCATTGACAGAAAATATATTAGATCTATAACAGTAACCGCCCCCCCCCCCCCCCCCCCCCCCCCCCACACACACACACACACACACAGCCCTCCCACCACCTGTAAGACTAATATATTATAAATTGTTGTTCATGTGTGAGAGAGTTAACGGGTTTAACTTGGAAATGAGAGCTGGTTCGTGTAAGAGAAACGTTCATTACATCGTATGTCCTTTTTCAGGTATCTTTGTTGGTTGTTCCATTGCTGCAGTGGTTATTGGGGTTTCTCTCATTCTACTCCTTATACGATGATATCACCACCCTTATAGAACCTAAGTCCAACTTGTTGCCATGGAAACGTAAAAAATAAAAATTCCTAAAATTCCTAAATAGCAAAAGGCACAACTTCAGTATGTGACTGATAGATTTGCCAAGTTTCGATCAAATACACTGAATTGTTTTCGAGTTCTGCCCCGGAAAAGGAAATGATTACGGACGGACAGACAGACAGACTGGCTGATAGCTATATCCCCCCGCAAAACGGGGGGGGGGGGGGGGGGGGGATAAAAACGAACTCAAAGGTAATTCATATGATATTTATGTAAATATTTTTAGGTATCTACGTGGGAAGTTCAACTGGGGCTGTTGTTATCTTGGTTGCTGTCATACTTATTCTGATATCATACAGGTACGAAGACAATTAATTTTTTGTTCAGTTATTTTTATGCACTTAACCCTGGATCGCGTATGTATATACACAAATTATATTTAATTCTGTTGTAATGATTGCCCAAATATAAATATTTACCTCGCCATATATATATATCGAGACATAGGGTTCTACATTTGACTCATATTTGTTTATTTATTTTGCATTTACTTACATGTATGTCGGAGGCAAGGCTCTATGGCCAGTGATTTTGCTCGTTAGGGACGAGTTGTTTTTTTTATCTCATATGGGTACACAAAATTTCTATATTTTATCATTTTTGTATACATTCCATTACACTTTTGTCGCTCTTGTTAAATTTACAGAAAGAGACTATTGTGCTTCAAAGAGACACCCATCATTGCAGCCAGCCAGGATGTTAACGCGATCTATGACGCTAATCCGACGACGGGAGGTTCACTACAAGAAAATAATGTGTACGAGACCCTGTCATGTGCAAGTGATAGGAACTCACCGTGTTACTCCACAATTCATGTATATAACAACACTGACCCAAAATGACCACGTTCCCCAATATGAAAAAAGTAATGCTGTTGTGGACACAAAGATATATGATTACAGGCGTAAGCCAGCTTTGACGCAGCAGATGACTCAGGTTGTATTCAATTACCGCCTCGAAATACACATTATACTGCTCCATATATGAGAAACAATGAATGCTTACTTACCATTTGGGTTCATATTTCGGGAAAAGAATATTTCTTTTGTTTTTCAAAAGCCCAATCCGCAGACCTACCCATCCCCGTCTCCACAACACGTGAACATCCTGGTTAAAATAGGTATTCGGCAAACCATTAAGTACCTTCAGTTAAAGTCAGAACAAGTTCTATACAGGTTTCTTAGAGAGCACATGATTAGACAGAGAAAGACGTTGTCCAGTGCACTCCTGGGTTGTTGAGAAATTGATTGTTAACCCGTGAAGATCCAGGATAGAATAGCTCTTCAGTAAACCATGCTTGTCGTAAAAGGTGATTGCTTGTCGTAAGTGGCGACTAATGGGATCGGGTGATCAGGCTCAATGACTTGGTTGATGCATGTCATCGTATCCCAAATGCGTAGATCGATGATCATGAGGTAAATCATTGGATTGTCTTTTCCAGACGCGATTTTTAACAGACCGCCTTGCTGATTGTGGCGTTAAACAACAAACAAACAAATTATATACCCAGGTAAGAACCTTACAATCTTGTACTATGTTAAATCCTACCTATATGATATTACCCTTGGCACTACCTGCAAGTATTTGGTAAGTGAAAATGTCATACGTGTGTGTATTTACTGATTGTAAACATCTCGAATAATAGATTGTAAACATTCTATTGTTGACTGATTATATATAGATTGTGTGACTGTCTAATAAACTGATTGTTTATTGACCCAGGTCTTGTTTTGTTGGGTTGGATGGTCGTGTAGAGTGGTACCCCCACTTAGCGAGCTGATTCCCCTCACTCGCTTTTTAATGATTTTATATTGTTGTAAGAATGCATGAATAAGATACTTTTAGAAAACATATTCAAATTATAGGAACGATCAAGACAAGAAAACGGATATGCTCCCATGACAGTGAATATGTGTTACCAATCCATTACTTCACAGATTACAGCGTTGGTAACCAACAGGGCCGTGATTTTGTGATCCGCACAAACAAATCATGTGCGTGATACACTTGGCAGATATTGTAGGATGTACATACCACTTTTTTTATGGAACTTCAGCTGCATGAATCTGATCACACTCGATCGCCCCTACATAGGTTGTTATCACGGAGTATATGTTATCTAAATGCTGTCACACTATTGATAATACTTCCCCTGAAGACATGATCTATAGAGGCCACGGGGTGTGGAAAACATTTTCAGTGTGCCTGTTTATATTTGGATCGTATACATCCTCAAATAATATGGTTCATAATTATAGTCATATCCGTAAGATGCGTGATTGCCATAAACTCGTTCTATCACAGCCGTATACCACAAAAAAGACGGTGTTTAGGAGACACAGAGGGCCCGGATCCTGGTTGACCTGGGTGACATTACATGCTTTGTCTATCTTCCTCGACATGAAATCAATGCTGGGGATCAGCATACTTCCTTTGATCGCTCTTCTTGAATTAAAGCGTCAAAACCTTCTCATACTCTGCCAATCTCTGCCAAATCATCGTCGAGTGTACGATTCCGACTGTATCATGAACCTTCGTTTATGGATCACTATCAAATAGTGATGATACCAGGTTCGCGAAAGGTGAGCGTATCCTGCCCCTTCGGTGGCACATGTCACAAACACATGCAAAGGCAAGCCAATTGTTCACCTGAAAAAATACGGGACAATATGGTACAAGTCAAAATAGGGAATTGCATCGAACAAACTTGAATGTTGTAACCTTGATCAGCTTCTGAGCAAGTGTCGTATGACGCTCTTCGAAATCTTGGTAGAAAGGGCATGCTCGATTGTACTTCAGCATGTTTTAAATGTGGACACCAAGTGCTTGAGCTTCAGGAGTATTGCTCGACATAAAGGGGAAAAAAATTGACGATTGGATTGTCATACAGACCTTTGGAGAGTGTTATGGCCCTCTGAATCTTTATGCATAGACTTAAATATGAAACAGGTGAGGCTTTCTCACTGGCCTCCTTTATTACAAGTACAGAACGATAAATCAGTGGAAGGGAATTGGCTATGAGATGGCTATTTAACGATCTCAGATCATCGATACATCTGAATCTAAAGTTAAAATTCTTGGCACAGTATACAGATATGGAAAATGTAAAAGAATTGTAATGTAGACCACAGCGTGTTGAGTTCAATGAGTCACAGCGTGGATGGAGTCAGGTCTTACTTGATAGCTTCAGGTACAGACTGAACAACAGACGGCTTACATGCACTGAAGTTAGTATTCTTGATCAAATAACCTTGTTTTGACTTTGCCAGTCCGAGCAGAAATTCCGATTCACGTGCATAAAGAAACATATCATCAAAAAGGGGATTACAGTTTATGTCCATGAGGATGACTACATCTTGATAAATGCAGAAATTTCTATTGGATATGGAAAGGGTTATGTCGCTTTATGTCCAAGTCAGCGACCATGACCGTTAGATCCCGGTAGCTGGGTATTTAACCAAAGAACATGAATTTGCCATCATCGATGGCAATCCTTCGACGAACATGTTATTACCTTAAGAATCGTATGTTGTTCACATTTCAAAACGTAATGGCGGCTGCCATTTGACATCCAGCATCGCAACGTCAGGGAGCGTATCCATAAATCATGTCACTGCACATCACGTGCCTGAGATGAAATGTTGCTCTGAGTTAAATCAACGGACATAGGAACTTTGATCTCTCGCGCAGTCGCTATACCGCTATCCAAACCGAGCCGATCTTGACTTCGAAAAGAGCCATTGAAAACACGCTTTGACAGGGTTGAGTTTACAAGGCATATATATACTATTATTCCTCCATAGGAGAATACAAAACAAGTTATAAGTTAACAGGGAAGAGGAGAGATTTTACATGGATTGAGAGTCGGATCTATCTTGGAGTTGGACACTGAGTTCGACAGGACCAATGTTGATGATGTCACACCACAGCATCTCTCGATACATGCATAAAGTCTCACACTGACACAGGGCGTGTGTTAGAAGGTCGACTTCGTGTAGACCACAGAGTAAGCAGCTTCCTTGAACACTGTCAGGTCTCCAGAGGGCACATAAATTAACAATGTTTGGGTGGGCTTTTGCCAGGAAAAAATAACCTTAAAAAAGAATCAATGTAAAGTTAACCTGTGACACCATGTGTTCGTGAACAACGGTAAGTTATGTTAATGACACCATCTCGTGTTCAAAAACAATGGTTAACTTCCCGTAGGTAAATAATGTGTTCTTTAACAACTTAAGTTAAGGTGATGACACCAGGTGTCCGTTAACAGGCGGCAAGGTGTGGAAATGACACCAGGTGTTCGTGAATTACTGTAAACGTACCGTGGGTACAGAATGTATTCTTGAGCAGCTTTTAAGTTGCAGCGATCACACCGGGTGATCGTGAATAAATGTAGAGCTATAATTTTGGCACCGCATGTTCGCGAACAACGGTAGAATTGTAGTGATGACACCATGTTCTCGAGAGTCACCTCAGATTTTCAGTTTTACTGCCTGGTTACTTTAATGTTACAAGAATATTTGTTACATGTTACGTGCAAACAATCGTTTCTGTATGTCTCACATAGTTCAAATACATTTTATTTTCTCACCATGAATAATTTAAATACCATACATATCCATTGCATTATTCAATCATGCATTCAGTTAAAGTTACAATACAAATTGAAGTAACTAATCCAATAGAGTTGAAATATTAAAAGTTTCATTGAACCATTATCTTATTCGTTCCTGCCAACGTTTGTTACATCCGAATTTATAATTCATGGCTATTAACAAAATAGACAGTCATCCATTTCCCCAAGCTCAACCCAGAGTGATTCATATTGACATACAAAAGAAAAAGAAGAAGTATAAATCTGATAAGAGTCAAATACTTTATTTTCTACAACGAACAGGGTCTCGAGATAAGCTTTAACGTCCTTGTCCCCGTGTTAACTTCCTGGTTGAAATACAACATGGCGTCTGCGGGGAACACAGGTTCTGTGTACTTTTCCTGGATATTCTTAGTTTTCATTCTCAACTGCCTTTGTTTAAAGTTCGTCATCTCTGAGAACTTAAGTAAGTATATCACAATTTACGTGCTTATGTGTTCATGTTATGCGGATGTAGAAGTAGTAAAGGTAAAAAGGTGAAAGATGATGCTTTGATTCATAACAAGGATCCTGTCTGAAATAGTAACAGGCACGGGTTTGTTCAAAACGCCACTCGTTACCTCAGCCATTTGAGATAGTCATACACACACCATTACCCCACCTACCCAAACCCACCCACACGCAAGCGCGCACATACACCATTTCACATACGAGCGTGGACACATACACCATTACCAAATACAGTCAAACAGTGAGATAAGGACACGCACAACAATACGCAGTGAGACATACATACATACAACCGAAGATCGAGGCCCTTACACATCCATACACTTGAACAAACAAGATTAGAATTCATGACGAGATTATATTATACTTTCCTTCGCCTGCAGTACTGACATGGCAGATTTGGTATTTGTGTCACCAGGATCACAACATGTGTACAGCACACAATGTTTGCGCAAGGTGTCTGATAAACGTTTCCTCTGAACTGCACTTGAACGGTTGATATAACCTCAGGGGCATGGGTGGCCAAGTCGTCTTTGCCGCCGCAATTCGCTGTGCGGAGTTACGTGCCTCGGGCACTCTAGAAACCTATGATTGTGGGTTCGAATCCCGGTTCGCCCCGTTTATGTTTTTAGATTTGTCAGCACCATACGCGTGCTTGTTGCTTTTCCACGACGTTTAGCCTCGATATTCCCACGCATTTGCCAAGGCAGATTAACAAAATATAGTCCATGAATGGACTGACGTTTCGGAAGGTTTATCCACCAACAGGATTGCTTTGTAACCTATGTTGTCATGCCCACTTCATTCCTCAGAATGTTCTCATCTCTTTCATGAGAGAAGCCTACTGTATTTGCTATGTATTGTCTATGTGATGTGTGATGTGTTATGAGTGGTCGATCATCCATAATTATGAACTTTGTCAACATTTCTTTTCCCGGTGGCAGTTGTTCGAATGTCTTCCTGATCTTGGATGATATTCGACGATCTCTCCTCCACTCTTGAATTCCGCTACCTTCCTCTTTACACTGGCAAGGGATGGAGCTTCATTCCCTAACGTTGACACCATGCCCGTGTGGATGGCTGTTAGAGTTAGCACTTTCAGTATAAGATACTGGATGTGACAGCTGGTTAACCAATTTTAGCCATTTCCGAGAGAATACCTCTTCCCTTTGAGGCCCGCGGAAATATGCTGCCTGGTGGCGTTTTTCATCCAAATGCAGCCTGTGGGCATGGCTTCTTAGAAACGTAGATACAACATCTTTCTTGAAAAATAAATTGCGACAGAATCCATTCATATATCGTAAGGAATCTCTTCTGAAAGCATAGTCAAATGTGCGCTTCCGACCATATCATAAACATGTTTTTTATAAATCACTATCAAATACTTATGATACAAGAAGTTCGCGAAAAGGGGAGCTATCATGCCCCATTGGTTGCACCCTTTACAGACACTGCAATGACAAACAATAATTGTCAGATATTATTGAAGCCACTTGGGACAACAATAGGGTCTAATGCAGCTTGGTGGCAACTCATTATGCATGGTTGCCAACACAATAACAACACCTCGGTCCTTTTTATTAATATCACATAGGTTAATAAAGAAAACAGAAGGTTTCGGCAGTACGTATATGCCTATACACACTTCTAGGTACTATTTGATTTTAACAAGTATTTACGTTAAGGAAACCATAAAAGTAATTGTCGGTTCGTAGATGGGATCTCCGTGCTCCCAAGACAAGGCCATTCTTTTCACGAACCGAGAGTTACAGTATGTTCTCTAACATAAAACACATGAATACTTTGTTAAACTTACTATTAGACTTTGACAAAGCATTCTTTTGGGGAAACAATTTGACAAATAAACCAGAACCTTGTGTAGTCTGTATTTAAACTGTGTGAGTCGGCCTTGTGTGATACACATTGAATACTAGTATGTTCTCTGCTGCTGGTGGATGAACTGTCATATTATTATATTATTATATCAATCGTTTTCTTGTTTTGAAAACATGCTGACGGGGATATTATGTAATGTAGAGCCCTGAACAAGGATAAGGATGTTTTTCTTTATCTCATAAAAAGGGCATCTAATTACTTCACATAAACATCGTATTAGCTAACATAATGTAACACAACATTAAACATACCATCTTCGAAGCCTTTAAGGTTTATACAAATATATTAAAGTAGATATTAGTTAAATTTCAGTCATTCTATATTGTTTTGCCGTTTCCTATTTCGTCTAATCTATTACACATCCTGAATTCAAACGACGTGAGTTGAGCCCCGCTGCGAATTTGTGAATATATTGTGTGTCAAAACAAAACAATATAGTTCCGTCAATATTACATCTGTACATTAATTGAAATGTGGGTTCAGAAATAACTGACAACCAACAGTCCATTCGGGTTCACAAATGGATGATTTAAACAATACTAGGACGTCACCAATATATATATATGATAACGAATCGGCTAATAGGTCGTGATGGTGACCCTGTTCCACATCCTGACTGATGACGATATTTCAATGATTCCTTTCAGGACTTGAAGTTATTGCAAACACAAATGTAAGACACAAAGTCATAAAATGTGTCAGTAACTTTCGAGGAAGATTTGCTGCATGTTCCGCCATGTGGTCGATAAACATATTTACACAATACACAAGGACCTTACTGCGTGGATGCATACATAGATGAAACGAAACTCACTTTTGTGTGATAAAAGGAAAGCCTGTGAACAAATGCCATGCAAATGGTATACGTGGTTAAAAAACCCTGGTATATATAATTTACATAACAAAAAAAGACACCAACAACGGTTTTTTAAAAAACTTTAAAACATGTGTCCATGTGTGCTTTCGATATTAACGATAGTACATGATGTTATATTTTCCCCCAAATTATTTTAAGACTTATCATTTGGACATGAATTACTCCAGGAATTGTGGTCTAGCCTAAACAATAGATATAAAAGGATTTGCATGGCTATCGGTTACCAGATTAGCCATACATTCTTCATTTGTAAAGGTGACGTACCATGATATATATATTGTTGTTGGATTGCAGCCTTCTGGCTGGATCCTGCAGTCAATGAAGACACAACACATTCAGACTATAACGTTGGGAATAGACGGATAAACTGGTGGGATGCAGCACAGTCGGGGTGTTCACAGTTCGGTGGAAACCTGTACATACCGCAGTCACAAAACCTTCCTGGAGCTCTCCTTGGACAGATGAACTGGGGAACCTATTACTGGATCGGAGCAGTGAAATATCCTACATGGATTTGGACAGGTAAGAATTTGTTGAATATTTTGTTGATTATCTCATGTTGTTTTTGTGAGAACATTCTATCAAATATACATACGTCAGACTACGTGGTTAGAATGATGTTGTTTGTTTGTTTGTTGTTTAACACCCCACTCAGCAATATTCCAGCTATATGACGGCGGTCTGTAAATAATCGGGTCTGGACCAGACAATCCAGTGATTGACATCATGAGCATCGTTCCACGCAATTGGGATACAATGACATGCATCAACCAAGTCAGCGGGCTTGACCCCCCATCCCGTTTGTCGCCTCGTAGAATTATGTATTAGTCACCATTTCATTGTAGTCATTTGGGAGATAAATTTAGTGTGTTTTCAATTTAGAAAATTCGAATACATACTTGACAAAAAAAGTTAAGAATCATGAATACTTTCGGGGATATTTTAATGAAATGCCTTCACTGCCCAAAAAAGTATTCCCACAAATATTTACGATCCCTAGCATTTCTTGTTCAGTATAGATTGGCATATCTCCATTCTATCAGGACACACTTGGTTATGGCGGACATGATTAGTGATGTGTCATCGGTTTAGCCTAATATTTACCCAAACCATAACTGCCACTATAATACATGAACCACGTTGATGAGATACACTAAAACCACGTTGGCAGATATTTTGTAAGCATTATTCAAACCGACATGCCCAGAGAACATGAAGCGACCTTTATAATGTTTGGTTCTAAAGTTACACAACAATAATGACGTCATAACGTTCTACAGATGGCAATTATGACGCGGTAGACATGACGTCATAGTGGGTGCTACAGTAGCGGCAAAATTCATGTCGTGTTGATGTTGCTGAATTTTACAATACACTCTAATTGTTCCTCAACAAAACTACATTGCCACACATTCTATTTATAATGAAGTAACCGCAACACGTTAGCAACTTTAAAGAAGTAAGATCAGTAACATCAAACGCGTGAGTTTGCAAAAGAAATGCCCCGACTACAAATTTAATGTTGTCATCCGCAGGATGCAGGATTCTAAAATGTCATGGTAGAATGACTCATCGTCGATATTTTCTTAACGGGTTATCTCTAGGCAAAAGCAGCCTCCAGCAAATCAAAAGGTTCACCTTTCTAAATCGAGCCTCTTCTAGGCATACGTAACAGATACAGAGATCACTACATAAGTGCCTGTCAGATACCATTTATCTTACAACGAGTTGTTTCAAAACGTATCTAATAAATGGAATCTGACAGGCACGAGTGCAGTAATCTGTTTCCTAAAATCGCACTTTTTTGCATCGAATCGATGCATTTTGTCTGTTCTCATGATCGCAGTGGCGCATTAATACATAACACAACGGTCAATAGTGACGTCTTCCGACGTTCTGCTTACCATTAATAAATAATGGGCCGTAATGATGCCGAGTTAATAATTTTCACCTCAAAGACATTACCAAATATGTACAACAATGATTCCTTCCGTATGACATCACTACCGGTGACCGACTTTTACAAAATGGCGTGTTCACTGACAACAGTGCGCGGGATTTTCAGAGGAGGATTTTCGTTGATTGAGGGATCGTACATAAATGTGTCATGTAAGTAATCAGAAACAATCTGCCTACTATTAATTGTTTTATGTTTTCTTCAGGACGGAAACTTTTACGATTTCTGTGGAATTTACCTGAATATTGTAGTGTATATATGTGTAATTCCATAAAATGTGCTACGATAATTCTTCCCATTAATAGTCTCAAACGCGGGAGCCAAAGTATGCAACAATGAGATGAATGGATCTCTCAGAATAGGAGATATTGCTACACAGTGTAAAATCTGAATTTTGCTTTGTTTACATCTCAACAAGTAGGCCGAGCGCAGTGTTCGTTTCCACATCAAGGTTAGTTCGCTTGATTTCATCTAGATAATTTGCCTTGGTGACAAAGACCACATGGCATTGAGTTTGAAATATACGAGATCTCATAACCGGCATACGTGAAACGTGATTTTGTAAACACTATCAAATAATGGCGGAACGTACACTTCGGCGTTGGTGTTTGCGTATTTTCCAAAACATTCTAATCGATTCTAAGCTTATCGGCGACCTTTTTATAATTGTGATTAGTGATTTGATGAAAACCAGATACTCGTGATCACTAATATGCTATTTTTGAAATTCAATTCTTCGTGTAAATATCCGATATTTAGATTTCTAAACACACGGTACGTGAAATGACTTACAATCAGGAAAGTAGTCCGTCACCATGGTGTAGCCAATCACAGGCCTGGAATTCGATATCACACATCTGTTTGATACCAGTTATCTCAAATGGGTTTCTCACCAAAAGGTGGGTAAGAAAATGCTCTACGTGACCTCATGAAGTTACAGCAATAATGTAACGCGTTCGCCATTAAATTGAAAAGTTCAACTCTAACTCGTAAATAACGCCGTAAGTGGTGATGATTTACGATGTACCTAACTTTTTCAGAGGTCACCTTAAGTAATTTTGCTTTGCCTAAAATGACAGTGGATTATGTCACAGAAGTGGGGAATTTCCCCTAGAATTCAAAACTGTGATGTGTATTAGTGTGGTGATGCATTTTAAATTTTATTCGAAAAAGTGAGTGTTGAAGAGGAGGGACATAATTATATGTCGCTGTGGCATCCCGGGGGTTTACACTCTAAATAAAAATAACATAACGTTCAAGACAGACGTACGTGAACATTCGACAGAAGCACGAGCAACTTATGAATGACTTACAATCAGGAAAGTAGTCCGTCATTATCTGGCCTCAGGTCATCACCATGGAGTAGCCAATCACAGGCCTGGAATTCGATATCACACATCTGTTTGATACCAGTTATCTCAAATGGGTTCTCACCAAAACATGTGTAAGAAAATGCTGTACGTGACCTCATAAAGTTACAGCAATAATGTAACGCGTTCGCGATTAAATTGAAAAGTTCAACTCTAAGAATTCAACATACAGGTCGTAATAAGTTGAACTTTTCCTTTTATTGGCGAGCACTTTCAGCTTAAACGAGCCAAGCCAAGCATCATAACATGTTGCCATATTCAAACTCTCTTCAGATGCATTCGTTTGACAACAAACGATAAGAATGTGACACTTTAATTTGCTCTCAATCAGACGATAGCACACACACCGTTGCAACACAACTACATAATTCAAAGAAATACATTTGTTTTTCATTTCAGCCGATCAATCGAATCTGTACACTTATGTAGGCTATTTGCCTTTGCCCACATTTAGGCAAAACTCGACTCTGGAGGGAAATTCAGCTTTAACCTGCCATCAATATTGCGGAAAATCAATACTTGGACTACGGGTGAGTGTTGAACTCTGACTTGAACAAGGTCATTAGTGCTAAAACATTTAGTTTAAAGCACTTTAGTCCCGGCCACTTGAATTAGAATCACGAAATATCGCGATAATTAATTAACGAAGATAACTGCAAATGTGCTAGTATTTACAAAAAGGCAAGCCTTTCCAGCTAATATAAGGGTATTACTTACATTAATGACATAAACTGCATAGTGCGCTCAATAAATATTCATTTTTCTAGCGAAAAACATCATCATTGAGTTTTCATCATGATGGTTACAGAATTACAGTTAGGTGACTTCGAGCGGTTTTATTTAGCACTGTGTGAATCATATACATACATTACCAGCACGAACTGAAAGAAATAAGCGTGCAGATGTAGTATTCAAAGAGCTATTGACAAAGTTCACTTTCCCAGCATCACCGCATTCTGTCCACACAGGAAATAGAACACATTTCCTATAAAACACTCTAAGTTTGCATGGGGCAAAATGGCGATTTAATTATCATTGATATATGTTACATGTAGGAATAAAGTGAACACATTATTAATCTTAATAAAGCAAGAAACATACATTTGTTTCATGAATAGCAAATCGAGTTGATATCACTTTTGAGTTTTCAGTGAGTGAGTAGGTTTTACGCCGCATTTAGCAATATGTAGGCAAAATCGCGGCAGGCGACACTAGATCTAGAAATGAAATCGATTAATCACATCACCCTATTGTTTCATGCGTATCTTCCTTACATTTCAAGGGAAATGACTGCTACTGTCTGGGAAACTTTGTGCATGGCATACCGTCCTTTCACTTTGGAGTGAGATGTCCAGGAAACTATGACGAATACTGCGGTGATGAAGATGGAATTTCTGTGTACAAACAAGGTGATCACAAAGAGTAACGAAAATAATTTGAAAAACATATATATTTGATTGGTATTCTATACCATAACACCTCTGTTAGACATTCTTGTTACATGTATGAGGGGCGGTCGGGTAGCCTAGTGGTTAAAGCGTTCGCTCGTCACGCCAAAGACCCGGGTTCGATTCCCGATATTGCTGGAATATTACTAAAAGCGGCGTAAAACCATACTCACTCACTTACATGTATGAATTTATCTAACTTACGTCATCTTAGAGTAGATAGGATATAGACGCCACAGTCTTCGTGTTCTGTCAAGAGGAACTGTCCAGGGGAAGTGTCTATCTAATAAAAGATGCGTTCGGTAAGGACACGTTGCATGTGCCTTTGAACATTCTAGGGGTAATGTGTTATATTGTGTTTAATGTAAAGCAAATGGAGTTCACGTGCGTATATCTATTTGATTACAAAATCGCTGTTGCCGTGGTACAACGTCATTTTACGCGTCCTACCAGAGAGCTAAGGACACATGCACAGTGCACACATGCACAATTCTATTCTTACTGTCTCTACTACTATAAGAAGTAGCCTAAAGACGTTGACGATAACATGAAAATGAAAAGAATTTATTCTTTTTCAGAAAGCATCAGGGCTATTCCAAGTTTTGATAGCAAATGCGGTTTTATCAGTGTGAGCAAAACGTGGCCAAATATTAACAATCCCTATTCTTACACGCATGGCAACCTATTACCTACTACCTACTACCATACAGTGTCCCTGGAAAGCAATTGTTATACTACCAGGAGATCGGCTTGTGAGAAGAACATTACCAGACACATTGGTAAGTGACCCAGGCTGACCAGAATATCCAACGCAGTTTCCTCGGCTTCAACATCCTGTACATGTAAATTATAAAGTCACGTTTAGTTATGGTTGTAATGTATTTACTTTATAAAAACACCTTAAATGGATTGTGATATGTGTGATATTTTAAGGTCACATGGCATTATCATATTTATAAAACTAACAAAAAGACATCTTGAATAGTCTGAAAACAATTTCACCGATTCCGAAATATTTTCTAAATGTACGTAAACGTTAACATTACAAACGTTTATCATATGTATCATAGAGCATGGATGTTTCTATAAGAAATGTATCTATTTAGTTTGCTTTATTACGAATCTATTGCTTTACCTTGCTGTTTTACTGTTAATGACGTCAATGTATATATAATGTGTTCTCTTATGGCTTCTCTATATGGCTTAAATATTCTGATAATTCGCTCGAAATGACTTTTGAATTTTGTTTGCCAGCTTATATTCTATTCTAGCGCTTTAACTAATGTACAAACTATATGAACATATCTGTTTAGGAATAATGATTCCAAACCATTCAACAAGAATGCAATATTTGATATAACAGTTGAGAACCGGTGGACATGGACCTGTCGTGGAAATGTTTGCTTATCACACGCACATCGTACCTTTTATGCATCAAACCAGAAGTGTGACTTGGTAAAAGTTACACATGGAAACATCGAGCATCTGACTCAGGCAATAGTGGAACTGTCCGGGTACAGAGAAACTTACTGGATTGGTCTCCAAAGAATTTCTGTAAAGAAATGGAATAACGGTAAGTGTCACGCCATATGATCTTCATGATCCCTTACCTGTGTGTGACGCGATTTCCCGCTTCAGTGAAATTCACAAAGATGGTTATAAATTACTGATCAAAAGAAAGTATACATCGACTTGGAATGATCAAGAAACGAAAAGCAGAAAATGTACACATTTCAAATTTGATCATTCATCTTGTACAACAAGCAAAAATACAATTTCATGATGAAATTAAAAAAGCAATAAAACCCATTTTGTCACTTTTCACAAAAGAAACCCTGATAATGAAAATCTGATAACACAGCTACTGAATGCTTCCATAGCACCTCGGTAATGGCACTAATATATTGTGTGACCTCCTCAGGCGCCCAGATAGGCAAAGACACGAGGCCTCATGGCGTAATGGCGTAAGCTATCGGATGACGTCAATGAGTATGCGATCCCACTCCTCCAATAACGCATATCCCAGCTTTTGTACGTTGTTCGGCAGGTTTGGACAGGTTGTGTATTATCTGTCGTCCAAGATGCATATGATCCCAGAGATGTTCTATTTGTGAGCGGTCGGCTGGGGATGACGGGCAGGGCAACACGGATACGTTACAGATGCTGAGAAATCCCTGGATGATTCGAGCAATGTGGGACCTGGAACAGTATCCCTTGGGGCTGTCTTCTGAGAAAAAGAAGGACAACTGGCTGTAGAATGACAAACCTGTAACGTTGTCCACGGATGATGCCTTCCTTTCACCACAAATACCACCCACACCATGACATTCACAGCTTCCAAACGGGTCAACCTCTTGGATGAACCCTGGAGGCAATCGTTCACCTCTCCGTCGATATACCCGCCTCCGACCAACAGGATAGAACAAGTTCAACCTGAAGACAAAGTTGAATCAAATTGCAGGTCAAGGCCATTCCACAGTGGGGTCTATAGGCCCGCATTCCTTAAGCACGTAATTGTATTGACAGTATGTGTCTGCTGATGCGGCGTCCAAGTCCCGTCAACGCCGATGACGTCACCGCAGATGTAAAGTGCGCAAATGGCGGTCCTCTTGTGGGGTGGTCACACGTGGCCAACCGCTTCGTGGCCTGTCCCTGGTGTGCCCGATATGGTGGTGTCGCTGGCAATGGTCAGCTGCAACGGAGCGTTCTTGCAATGTGGACCTACGTAGCCCCTATCAGCGCCATCCCAAGACCCCAAACTGATAATCTTGGCTTTTTTCTTGCATTCTTTTATCAGCTGAGATGCTTTGGGGGCCAACCGCTTACATTTTATACCCTCTATATATTATCATCTCGTGCTGTTATAAAAAAAACACTGTTTTATATAACTTTCGCGAAAAATACTTTCTCAAAATGGTGGCCTTCAAACAGTCAGATGATGTAGGGTGTGTTAGGGCAATTGTTTCCAACCTGCCTTTGAGTTTCCTTAGCCAAGGTATTGAAACCTATTCACAATCTCACATGTATTCTTTCTTTTGATCGGCAGTTTAATTAAAACTGACGTCCGTTATGAACGAATTATCGACTTGAACGCACGACCAGCGGGTCCTGTCAGTTGAGTGCAAAAGGTCTCCGAATCCCATTAAATACCGGTTTCTTATCACGTCAAGAACACTATATTTTCTGAAGAGTTTTATTTGGACCTTGAATCTAACTTAAACCATATATTAATTCTGAGAATTACCAACACTTACGGAACACTCTTCAATACTTTTCAATGTAAAGGGTGTTAATAATATGCCTCCCCGCTTACATGTATTGAGAATTGATATTAAATAAACTTATATTATTAAGAAAATGACAGATTACAACAACATTGTTCCGCCAGGTAGTGATATGCTGCTCACAGCCGACGACTACTTCGGTGTTGGTGCTGTTCTACCTACATGCCTGGCGGTGTGGAAGACGTACTACAACAGTGTACAGTTCCACTGGTTAGAGTGTCAGAGCAAACACCTATCTATTTGTGAAAAAGGTAATCGGTCTTTTAACTTCTACCTCTATTTACACTGTGATATCTGTTTATTCCAACAACAATTAGACTTATATTGCTACATGTAAAAAAATATGTATAACTTTCCGACTAAATCCAAATTGCTACTAACTTGTCTGTATCTGGTGATTGTTATGTATTATTTGTTTCATGTGGAGGTTTACTTTCAAACATGGTTGTAAAGGATACGTATATTTATCCTTCAGTGACATTAAGAACAATAAAACCACCAACAAGGAGGCCAACACAATCCACCGATGAGCAGTGCATAGTGGAATCTTAACATTTATGAACAACAAACTATATGTTGTATTTTATTAACATTTATTATACCATGGTACCTTTTTCGTTGACCGTGCATTAACTGACTGAATCGTCAGTTAAAAACACTACTTAGCAATGACGGAACTTCTTTTTTCATTTACCTTCATGAAAAACGTATGTCACCAGCTGGATTCGAGTGAGTGAGTTGGGTTTAACGCCGCTTGGAACAGTATTCCAGTTTCAGCTTAATGTGAGAGGAAAGCCCGAAGTGATGCAGGTCTCAGACGTTTCACATCGGTGAAACCCACGAGCACGGGTATGGTGCTGACAAACCTAGAAACATAATCGGGGCTAACCGGGATTTGAACCAACAATCTAGCGTGCCCCAGGGACGCAACTCTGCACAGCGAATCGCGGCGCCTTAGACGACTGGGTCACCCATGCCCCCAGCTGGATTCGAACCCGCGAAGTCCGCACCAAAGGCTGAGGTAGCCTTCTGCTACGGTGACGTGTTAGAGATTGTATGAAATGAACAACTAAATATTTACATACATAAGAACTAGTAGTTTATCCGTTCATGAACTGTGTTTTATGCAGTACGTTTTACGTTACTCAATGCATTGTACCTTTAGGTTTTCGTTCAACGAAACAAACAGATTAAAAAAAGAAATTACTATTATCTTGATCAGGTCTATGTTTGCTCATAATAGGCCCATCGACATGAGCAAGTAATATTTTGGTGATTGATAAATGTGTTCGAGTTGACCCACAATGAATGCTATACTTGCATTGCGACTTGCATTTAAACACCCAAGTCGGCAAAGTGCGAGGTGCACGTGCGAAGGCTCGGGGAACATATTTCACGTGCATCACACAAGACCAACTCACACAGCATTCTCACAGTCAAGTTTCGAGTTCCTGAATATCTTACGAATTATCTTTAACAAAACAATATTTTGTAAGATGTTTAGATGCTATGAATGTTGGCCATGGTTTAATAAAGTTAAACAAATCGGATTCCGATGGTTAATCGTTGAAATGGTCAGTTCCTCGCCTCGAGGTTTAACTAACCATTTCAGCGATTAAACATCGGATTCTTATGGTTCAACTCAACAACTAAGCATATGTTATACAAATTTCAGGATTGTTGAAAACAATGTAATATCTATCCTTCAGTGAAAGTAAGAACTACAAAACCACCAACTCGGATGTCGACACATTCCACAAACTCGCCTACACCGCCACACATTGATCCTTTGTCAACATCAGACGTTGTGCATCCCTCTTCCACTCACAGGACCACAACAAAGAAATCAAAACTGGAAGGTGCGGCCGACTCTGAACGACATTCGAACAACGGCAATGTTGGTAAAGGTTATTTGGTATCATAGCAATATATCTGGGATGATAAGAACTTAGATGTAAATCTCTCTGTCGTCAATAACAGGAAGTATATTAGATCTATAACAGTAACAACTCCCCCTTCAATGACAGAAAGTATATAAGATCTATACCAACCTTTAAGACTAATATATTATAAATGGTGCGCATGCATGAGTGAGTAATTAGACACCACCAAAATATGCCACACACTACTTCCGTTGTCAGAGAAGTGGTCGGTTCAGGGTTCTGTCAGTGTAGAAAGGAGATACTTAACAACCAATTAACGAAGGTTTAATTTGAAAATGAGAGCTGGTTCGTGAAAGAGAAACGTTCATTACACCATATATCCTTTTTCAGGTATCTATGTTGGTTGTTCCATTGCTGCAGCGGTTATCTGTGTTTCTCTCATTCTACTCCTTGTATCATACAGGTATGCAAACAGTCGTTAACTGGTATATTGATTGTACTTTAAGAACTGAAAGTTGTCATCAGCTCTTGATTTGGTTAGCAGTTAAGTGTACATAGTTTCAAATTGTATTTAATTTGTTTATGTTAAAGTTACGGCTTTTCCATTAGACGAACATCCTCGCTATGGCCCATCGTAGTGTACACCCGAACTATCGTCTCCATCCGTGACTAATCTGACTGACAGTCTACAGCAATCTATGTATTTGCCTTAGTTTCTATTTAACACATTTATATTATCACCTTTCCTTGGTCAGCCAGATGATCAATTATGATTAACGCTTGTAATCAACACTTGTTCATGAGCAACTTGTAAATATCTCCCGTCACGTTTATGTCACAGTGACTTACTTAGGTACTTCTATACATATGTGTCTCATCTAATGATGATATTATTTAAATATATATGATGTAACCAAACTTCAAAAGATATGAACAATTTGGACATACATTCGCCCATGTCCCCTCTTATTTTATGGAACTAAATGTTGTATGGCTGTCAGTGTAAACATGAAGTTTACATGAAACTGTGTAAACATCCTTCGAGGTGTAAAAGGTAATATAGAATTGACATTCACAGCCACTGAGTTCATTGCAGTAGGAACCTTCACAGAGTGAGGGCCAAACATTGTATGTAGTCGCACGCTCTGACGTTCATACAGTTTGTCTATCACCCCAAGAAGGTTCATACTCGAATGAACTGATGAAATGAAAGTCAATTCTTTAACAAACATAGTGTTAGGTCGATTTTTTCAAATTTACGTTTGTATCATCATAATTTTTGTTCAAGTGTTCATTATGTTGCATTCTAATTGTATCGCTGTATATAAGGTCATAAACTTTTCTCAGAGCTCTGATGTATTATCAGCAAATATCTGACTACGTACATTCATTTCTAAGATGCACATGATACGGTAGGTGTGCAGATTTTGCATATGAAAATGAATATTCTCAACTTCAGACAGAGGCGTCTGTGCTTCAAAGACAAACGGTCTGTTTCAACTTGCCACAACGTTCACTTCAATTATGCTGCGGACAATGCCACGTACTCAGAAGCTGCTGCTCCAACAAGAGTCCCAGTCGGCCTTGAAATGCCTGTGTCCTCCGACAGTTCTCCATATTACTCTGTCGTGCCTGTCGCCAGAGTGACACCAAACAACCACGCCAATGGGTCGTCACGACAGGACCCCGAGATAGAGAAACAGAGAGATTACTATAACATTAAGCCTGTGGAAAATAGTGATGCCGTTTCAGGTTCTCAACAGCTGCCGGACAATGGTCAGTATGTGGTTCCCAAAGTAGGCATGAGTAAAACTACAGGCAAGCACCCGGTGTCCAGAAAGCCTGTTGCACATTACCAGAATACAGAACAACCAGACTACGCTGTTCCTCGTGCCAGGGACGTTGAGGTTGATGGAACAAGAGATGATGACAACGCTGGCATCTATCATCTCGCTGGAGAGGTCGATCAGGACAATGTCTATACCCTGTCCCGTGCCATAGACGAACATAGCAGAGATACGACAATGCTAGAGGCTCCCTACAACACACTTGGGCAAGACATGACCCCGGGAAAGAAACTCACAGGAACTGGTACTTATGACAGATTGATTCATCCGTCTAAAACAGATGCTTGTGACCCAGTATCACGGGACCGTCATATGAAGATTGGTGACAACACTTACAGCCATATAGGACAGGGAGACCATGACGCTGACAATAATTACGACACCACACGACACCGACAACAACGACCAAGCCTGGATGATTACAGTCATACAGATGTTCTTAACGCTGTATCAGAGGACGGTGAGGATGATGGGGAAGATGTTGACGACACCTACCATTTTATCAACGACACGGAGGAGGCCAATGCAACGCATGGAAAGGCTCATCCTGTCTATAGCAACACTGGAAACACTCATGCTCAAGCTGTTGATGATGCTGATTATTACAATTTACCTTTCGTTACCGACAGGGGAAATGCCAACTCCTCAGAAGACCCTGCTTCACAAGGAGGCGACGATGTGTACAGCCTAGCAAGAACAGTCTCTGACGCATGAAGAACCACACCGAGTAGATCACTCACACAGAAAAGGGCGATGAAACGTTTATTCCATCAATCAAACATTTTAAGTTAATTTTAACATTTTAACTTTAATTAAGTTTTCAATTTTATTGTTTTAGGATAATGTTATTTGTTAAGAGGTGTTAAAATCCTGTATCATTATATACTTCAGAGTTTTCCTAAGTTGTGAAGGTGATATTTTCCTTGCAGTGAAGTAAAGACTTGATATTTCACTGCAGTAAACGTAACACTTGATATTTCACTGCAGTGAACATAACACTTTGACTGAACTATTGCCATACAAAAGTCAATTCACCGCAAATTGTCTCCCCTTATCGTCAATGTCTAGCCTGTACAGAAACTGTTGACTTCCTTTTAATTAACAGATGGTCATTTATTAAGTTAATGTCGCTGCTGGCCGTTTGCTATTTTTCGCTGAAAATGTTTTGTTATAAACTGTAAATTTCTCATTTAACTCGTCAATCGAGACTGTTCGTCTCGCGAAGCGCGATTTTTGTTATTTTACCAGCGTGCATTCTCCTAGATTTCAAGAAAATCTTTGTTTAAGTTGATTTTGTATTTAGTCATATACCAATGTACGACGAACAATTGCCATGACTTGTTACTTTTCTTTATATGTTTTAAGATTTTGCAAACCCGGAATTACCTTTTAAGTCGCAATTACAAGGGGAGGTGAAACATCCCTTCGTGTTAGGAAGGAATAATTTACATTTCAAAGTTTAACATTTGTAATTCAATAAATCAATTTTCCGGTGGACATCTACACAAAAAGAATATAATAATCAGGATATTCTATGTGTCTCGTGAAATATGCTCTATATATTTATGTTTATTTCATAGCCACGGGATGCGACGCTTCACGTATACGCAACTGCAAACTGTAAGCATTCAGGGACTTGTTTGAGAAGTCCCAATCGAATATTCGGAAGTGCTATCGAGCACGAGTCGATGTACTGTGTATGTTTAAGACTGTACTCATGTATGTACGATGTTGCAATGGAAGCACCCAAATGAAGAACTATACATTAACATTAAACCTAATGAATGTAATTTTATGATACATTATAACCTTGTTAATCCGGACGGTGCGGTTCTTATTGAATCGTTCGTGTTAAGAAATATCCTGATTAATCCTCGGTTACACAGTAATGTCCCTCTAATTCTATATAGTCGTTAACAATAGAAATGGTCAAGAAGGCGGGGTACCTGGAATGTATATTTTCTTGACATAGACACGATTCTTTACAGACCCCGTGATATAGCCTGATAGTGCTGGATGCGGCGTAAAGTAACATTCACTCACACACTCATACCATGCGGACCCGTGAAGATTCCGGGGTAGAATAGGTCTTCCGCAACCCATGCTTGTCGTAAAAGGCGACTAACGGGATCGGGTGGTCAGACTCACTGACTTGGTTGATGCATGTCATCGATCCCAATTGCGTGGATCGATGCTCATGATATTAATCACTGGGTTGTCTGATCGAGACTCGATTATTTACAGACCGCCGTCATATAGCTGGAATATGCGGCGTTAAAGAACAAAGCAACCAACCAACCAATACCATGCGTGTACCTATTGTAGTTAATTGCTGTTATCATAATCATGCTGAGACACTTATTACAGAATGAACATGTTTGTGTTTAAGTATGTACATATATATACATATCGGGTATTTTTTACTTATTTTCTAACTAAACTCGTGATTTGTTACATGAGTTTAGTTCATATTATATACGGAACAATATGACAGTTGTATGTATTTTGTGTTTATATTTACTTTTTTCATAGTTTTATTTTTTATTTTGTTTCTTGAAAGATATTTGATTATTAATCGATTTCTGGATCTGTGTGTATTTTACTGACATTCCATTTTATTAACATTTATACATGAAACTAATGACACATTATTACTTACAGTCGCAAGTACTCAAACAGCAAATACAAATATCGTCTTGCACTTTAAACTTTGTCACTGTTCTTTCATTTGCGTTTGTCTTTCGCCTTTAGGGGGTCAGAATTAGGTTTTCATTCTGGTGATAAAGAGAACCCACCCCCACTCGTCACGCGGCTTTATGGTGGTCAGGCGGGAGACTTAGATGATGTAGGTCACCGTATCCCAGTTGTGAAGATCGATGCTCATGATGTCAGTCACTTAATGGCCTGGTCTAGACTCGTTTATTTACAGACCGCTCATAAAGCTAGTATACTGCTGAGTGCGACGTTGCATTAACAAACAAACATACGGTTTACTTCCTGCATTAATATAGCAGGTGCCTGGCTTTGGATTTGGTATTAAGACACGCCTTCATAGATGGGAAGTAATACATAGCTTGTATAGCATTGTCTGAGCATTATAGCGTACCACATATCCTCAGAAGCCGGTCATCTATTTTCTATATGTACGCTTATACTCTTAAGCTTATTTCCATATGCATGTGTAATCTAAGCGACACAGATTAACTCGCTAATTCAGTCACTATAACCCATTCAAATAAGACATGTTACAACTAGGTCTGCACAATACTCTCAAAGACTAAATGCCTTATGGATACCAATCTCATTAAAATCAGATCTTAGTTTTCGCTACCGCTAAACAAAGATCCGAGGACATCTCATTAAGGGTCACGTCAGAACGACCTTTCGCGAACGTTGACCGATCAATGAAATGAATGACAAGAAATCGACATTAGCCAATCAGAGGGCAGCTTTCTCGAGCTTTACGGCGCTAGGTTCAAACTGGCGGCTTCGCTTCGAAACATATTTCGACGTATTCTCGATTTTAAAAAATTAAAACTGTTAAAAAGAACATTCTATAATGGGTCACAGATGGTCTAGATTGTATGGATATAATCATAAAACCCGTAAGTGTCGTTCGGAATACCCCTCTGTCAAATATTTTGAGGTTGCATGATTAGAAAACACATTTCGTTTGTCACTTTCATGATCTGGTAAGCGAGGCTCCGATTGGTTGGGTGAAAGGTCGTTCTGATGTGACCCGCAATGGGATGTCCTCAGATCTTTGTTCAGCGATAACGAGAACTAAGATCTGATTTTAATGAGATTGAATGGATACGAGGCAGTGAATGAGTTTGGTTTAACGCCGCTTTGAGCAATATCTTTTACGTGTCATGGCGTGTCAGCTCAATGTAGGAGTGACGTAGATGCAGACGTGTGCCACTTCAGTGAAACCACTAGCATGGCCATGCAATGACAGACGGTAGGGCATAGTCGGTGCGAATCTTGGATTTGAATCCGTGGGAATCCTGACACGGCTAAGGTACACAACTCTGCATAGAGAACTGTGTCGTCATAGGCCTATATTCATTGGATTATTTATTAGTCAATTAGAATTCTCCCAAGACAGCGTAATGCGGAGGTGGCAATGTTGTGGACATGGCCGTGACATATCTGGAACACATTACACAGACAGTGACATATATCTGGAACACATTACAAAGATAGTGGCATATATCTGGAACACATGACACAGGTGGTGACATATATGTAGAACACATTACACAGGTGGTGACATATATCTAGAACACATTACACAGGTGGTGACATATATCTAGAACACATTACACAGGTGGTGACATATATCTAGAACACATTACACAGGTGGTGACATATATCTAGAACACATCACACAGGCAGTGACATATATCTGGAACACATCACACAGACCGTAACATATGTCTGGAGCACATCACACTGACCGTAACATATGTCTGGAACACATCACACTGACCGTAACATATATCTGGAACACAGCACACAGACCGTAACATATATCTGGAACACATCACATAGACAGTAACATATGTCTGGAACACACCACACAGACCGTAACATATATCTTGAACACATCACACTGACCGTAACATATATCTGGAACACATCACACAGATCGTAACATATATCTGGAACACACCACACAGACCGTTATATATATCTGGAACACATCACACTGATCGTAACATATATCTGGAACACATCACACAGATCGTAACATATATCTGGAACACACCACACAGACCGTTATATATATATCTGGAACACATCACACAGACCGTAACATATCACACAGACCGTAACATATATCTGGAACACATCACACAGATCGTAACATATATCTGGAACACATCACACTGGCCGTAACATGTATCTGGAAAACATCACACAGATAGTGGCATATATCTGGAACACATCACACAGACCGTAACATGTATCTGGAAAACAGCACACAGATAGTGGCATATATCTGGAACACATCACACTGACCGTGACATGTATGTGGAAAACATCACACAGATAGTGGCATATATCTGGAACACATCACACAGACCGTAACATGTATCTGGAAAACAGCACACAGATAGTGGCATATATCTGGAACACATCACACTGACCGTGACATGTATGTGGAAAACATCACACAGATAGTGGCATATATCTGGAACACATCACACAGATCGTAACATATATCTGGAACACATCACACTGACCGTGACATGTATGTGGAAAACATCACACAGATAGTGGCATATATCTGGAACACATCACACAGACCGTAACATGTATCTGGAAAACAGCACACAGATAGTGGCATATATCTGGAACACATCAAACAGACCGTGACATGTATAAGGAACACATCACACAGATAGTGGCATATTTCTGGAACACATCACACTGACCGTAACATGTATCTGGAAAACATCACACAGATAGTGGCATATATCTGGAACACATCACACTGACCGTAACATGTATCTGGAAAACATCACACAGATAGTGGCATATTTCTGGAACACATCACACAGACCGTAACATGTATCTGGAAAACAGCACACAGATAGTGGCATATATCTGGAACACATCACACAGACCGTGACATGTATGTGGAACGCATCACACAGATAGTGGCATATATCGGCACCCCAACCAACACATGGCCCAGGCGCCGCAATTCGTTGTACAGAGTTGGGCCCCTTTGAAAGTGGGTTCGAGCCCCAGATTTAAGTTTCTAGGTTTATCAGTTCTTACCATATGTGGATTTTATCAATGTGGTAAAGTTCTAAGACATTGACGTAATAACTGAAATAGTGTTCAGGGTGGCATTGAACCCAAATCACTGGATATGTGATCACCTGGTCATGACATCATCTCAAATGTCTGCAGGAACTACTCGGACCAATGAAGTTTACTGACTGACTGACTGACTGACTGAGTATGGTTTTACGCCGCTTTTAGCAATATTCCAGCAATATCACGGCGGGGGACACCAGAAATGGGCTTCACACATTGTACCCATGTCGGGAATCGAACCCGGGTCTTCGGCGTGACGAGCGAACGCTTTAACCACTAGGCTGACCACCGCCCCAGAACACTTTTTATGCCAGATGACATGTTTATCTCTCATCCCGTGGCAAAATCAGCTTAACACTTTTTCTCGCCGCGGCGACATTCATCCTAACACAAGGTGTTCACAAGATGAGATAAACATGTTATTTGTAAAAGATACCAAATATTTTCAATGGATTTGATGTGATTGGTCATTTGAATTGTAACGTCATTGCTCACACGTCCATATCCACTTGGAATTCTTCACGGCTCCAACCCAATAGAGTTCATCTTCATCCAGAGCGTCCATCAGGTCTTGGGGGATGTCTTCGGACCCGGGAACATACAGCTGCCCTCCAAACCCGGGTCTTCGGCGTGACGAGCGAACGCTTTAACCACAAGGCTACCCGACCGCCCCACAAATGAAGTTTAAATCGAGATATTTTCCTCTTAGCAGTGCAGGAAGTATTTGAATGTTAACAAAGAGCACAGCTGTATAACGCAGTGGTCACAGGCGTGGTCACGAACCCTACATTACTCACATCAGGATAGTGTCACCTAACACCGTCGATGTTTACCCATCTGATGTGTACCCAGGACCGCCTTTTCAAACAAATATCTAGTCATTATATCCAAAGCATATAGCACTTGACATGCTGTCGTCTTTATTGACCTTATCGCCAGATATTTCATAACCGTGGTGCAGTAGATTCCGGGGACGCACATCCTCGATACAGGTTATCACGTAATTCAGTGCGCACTTACGTGACGAGAAATCCGCGTATACAAAACAGGTTCAATGAAGTGACAACGCAGTGCGCCGCCTAAACACGTCAGTGCTCGTTCCCTGTGTTGGGCTTAATCCCTAACACATTTCCTTCCCAGGAACAAGATGGTGAGGGCGAGTACTCTCGCCTCCCGCGACAAGTGGGTTGTTAGCCTTATCTTCATATTTTATGGATGTGGCAGCGCTCTTGCTGACATATTTTGTAAGTATGTTTAAAAATATGTATTTGTTTTCACAATTCACGAATTTAACTGAAACAACAACAACCATTGTTTTGAAACTTATGATGATACTTTAATTTTCTCAGTATCAGTGCTTGCAATGGTTGAAGTGACTATTTAAATAAGTGGATGCAGAGTGTTGTTTTCTTCAATTCTTATGACAAGGGAAAGTGGTGTTTTGTGTAACTGGGACATTGTCAAAAGGTGATTCTGTATTTTCAAACGAAAACCAAACAATGTGTGTAACTGAAGCTATTATCTTATTCATTTAAAAAGTAGTAAGAGTAAACTAATTGTTTTCGTTAATTAAAATATTTTATCAAAAATATTAAGCTATATATTTATAAATTCTCTACAAACACTGCCCGTGTTCATCATACCGATCAAGTAGGTCAACTAACGGTTTACAAATATGTTATCATATGTTTTATATAAATAAATCCAATAAGAAATATGATACAAGTGCGTTAAAAACAGTACCATTAAACATTCACGATAACTTACTTTTGATACGACCCCCAGCGTTTCAGACTGATAAACAATATGACCAGCCATCCCTGACTGGGGACCAGAAAAACAAGCCTGTGTTGTGTTTTGTCAATAGCTGCACAGCGGTCACTCTACCGTGACCCCCTGGGGCTACTTTCCTCCTCGATCTAAACAATATACTTTGTGACTTGTATTGTTCTCTTCGTCTCATAAACCGTATACAATCGCATAGTTTTACATTCGATATAACAAGACCAGGAGCGTCACATACCACGGAAACATTCATAAATCTCTTTCAAAGAAGAAATCACTCACACGGAAAAAACTGGAGATATATATTAACATGACATGTAGATATGTACAAATGTGAATAATGTAAGGCTTCATCGTACATACATAAAATTTGTGTGGAAAATATCATGTATTAGGAATAGCCTTTGGGAATAATCTAAATATTCATATAAGGATATTTTTAAAATGATTTGTCTCTTGATATGTTATTCGTGAGCACCTGCCTTTCCATAAAGACTTCGGCAAAGGTAGTACTTGTTCTACGAATTCCAAAGCAAGCAAGCAAACAGAGGACGAATATTGTTTTGTACTATTTTAAATGACACTGATTTTCTCATTTTTACAAGTAAGACTTTAATACATCACCCATGGAGGCAAAATAAGCTATATTATATTTTGTATTTTAGATATTTCAAATGAGTGTACTGTTTATTAATGACAAAACGTTTGTATTTTGGGTACCATAGTTTCCTTGTAGGCACGTAATGTACGTAGGTTTTACACAGCTTTGAACACTATTCCTGTTTTATACGGGGTATTACATTGATGTGGAGGAAGTCTCAAGGTGATGCGACCGCCTCCGTGGTCTAGTGATAGAGCGTCCGCCCGGAGAGCGGAAGGTCTGGGGTGCGATTCCCGATCGCGTCATACCAAAAGACGTTAAAAGATGGTACTTGTTACCCTGTCTGGCGCTCGGCATTAAGGGGCTATAACAAGGACTGGTCGGCTCGGAGTCAGTATACTGTGTCTGAGTGGGGTATTCATGTTAAACTGCGGCATGTTATCTCAGTGAGCTAGCACTATTAATCGGCATCAGTCCGGACTAGTACAAGCAGCCACACAAACACACACACGTGCATGCACGTCGCTATATAAGTGCAATAATCTTGGGCGCGACGTTAAACCCCATTTCACCTCACCTCACCTCAAGGTGATGCATTTTCCGCTTTGGTTACCATCCAGCACGGACATGATACTGACAGATCGAAGATCGTAATCGGATGGTGTCCAGGGTTCGAACTCTTAACCTGTGAATTATGTCCAGTGTAGGGGACACATTTCAGCATTTCATTATAATTATTCAATAGTTTGAATGTCAAATAAATATTTTGGATTGGGCGATAGCACCGTCAAACTGTTTCTGGCAGACATTAGGTGCCACTTGCCTATAAATTAAAACCACATAGACTTTCCATGCCAGGGTTGTCATAAAATAGTTCTCCACACAGAAGGCCAACAACTGTTTCAGCAACCCATGCGACTAACGGGATCAGGTGGTCATGCTCGCTGACTTGGTTGATGCAAGTCATCGTATCCCAATAGCGAAGATCGATGCTCATGATGTTAATCATTGGGTTGTCTGGTCCAGACTCGATTATATACAGACCGTCGTCATCTAGCTGGAATATTGCAGAGTGCAGCGTTAAACAACAAACAAACAAGGGGGCCCTGAGGATACATTCTATCCCGGGTCACTTCGGGGTAGCACGGCATTGATGTCAACTATTAAGATTGTAACTTGTCACCAATGCATTGCCATCGGGTCTTACCGTCACTACGATCAACCATTACATTCTTCATGCACATTCCTTACAACTCTGTGTTACAAGATCAAGTTCTAGTCGTTGACAACATACCTCTTGCAAAGGTCTTCAAAGAAAAACATACTAGTTGAAGCTTAAGCGCCTAATTAAATTGTCATCAATTGAAATGCTTCGCGAACATCTCAAACGTACATACGTGTGTGTTTTCATATTGCTTTTAGTTTCAACAAAATCAGTAAACGTGTTATCGTGCCACGGGATTGTCTGGTCCACTATCACTGGATTGTCTGGTCAAACCTTGATTGTTTTAAGGCCGAAACCTTAGAGCAGGAGTATGGCTATGCGGCATTAGGTAACAAGTACTTACTTTAAAAGCAAATTGTGAGTGGTTTCGGTACAGCATAGACTTTTCTTACCCTTTCTGCGAACACCTGGTGTCATCAATGATGTTTAGTGACCCATTCATATATTTTTCACCGCTGTTCTGTCTTTTACACGCAGTGGAATCTGTTTCGGTAGATAATCGACTGTTTATTCTCAGGCGTTTTATATTCTTATTTCCCGCCCTGTATGTCTAGCGCAACTTTTTCTGAACAAATTAAGAAATGCGTCACGTGAATGTGTACCTGGGCTTTCTTTCTTAAGGTGGACGAGGCAACCACTCGGTAGTGTTTGCTAAACGTCGCGAATTGACTGAAATAGGTCATGTTGGCAAGGGATCTAACAAATCGTGCGGTGTGATTCATCGTGAGGGAAATGAGTAAGATTGTTTCAACGCCTCTTTGAACACTAGTTCAGCTATATCACGGCGTGTCTGCAGCAATGGTCAGAATGTCCCAAGTGATGCAGGTCTTACACGTTTACCACCTACGAGCATGGTGCCAGCAAACCGAACTCGTTATCAGGGAGATATGGGAATTGATCCCACGTTCATCATAACCTGGTACACCTCGGTGGCCTTGACGACTGGGCCATCTCGGCCCTTCGTTGTTTATTATGAAGAAAAAACCCACATCTGTAGATATAATGCAGGTGAACCGCGTTACCCTGTGGTTAATGTGTCTCAAATTACACAATTTATAAATGTAACATGACAATAGTTAAGTGTTCATGTATCTAAATGTATATCGTATATGGACAGTGTATGGTTACAACCCTAATATCTAATCTGCCTCTGCATCTTCATCTCATATTTTATTTAATTTGTCAATGCTTACTGCCAGTTAGTGATGCACGAACAGTTTAGTGTCATGGAGGAAGTACGTAGGAAGATGTAGCTGACGTTATAGAGCGGAGGTGAGTCCTTTGGGCCTATCTCTGAAGAAGTGCACAGAGGAACTCTTAAGTGTAACTGTCGAGGAGGGGTTGTTACGCTATTTCAACAAAGGTTCGAAGCACATACACACTCGGAAATACTAGTATTCTGCGTTTCCGCCTCAGTAAAGCACAGGTCCCTTGGCAATATGTGCTGTGTTATACTGTAAGCATCACTCCCACACAGACTTACTGACCAACTGGCTGGCTGGCTGGCTGGTTGGTTGGTTGGCTGATTCGCTGACTCGCTGGCTGACTGACTGACTGACTGACTGACTCACTCACTCACTCACTGACTGACTGACTGACTCACTCACTCACTCACTGACTGACTGACTGACTGACTCACTCACATTCTGATATTATCCCATTTGGATGCATTTAGTTGCAAGTGAAATCGATTAAGCTTAACTGTGATGTATAGCAACATACACTCTGTGGATGCAAATGACGCAGGTTAATACTGTGGAATTTAAGTTGGGAACGTTATTAATTATAATTACATGTAACATGCAATAGTTCTAAGATTTGACAACATAATGATATGAAGGGAATATAATATAATAATGCTAACACATTGTTAACGTATGTTATTACGTGGCAACACAATCGTGAAATGTGTTCAAAGTGTGTTAACGTTTGCCTGTTATGTGTTAATGCATGGCCTGGACTTTATATACTGTTTTGAAGATACACAGTACCGCTTGGGTGTTTTTCAAAGGTACATGATAAAAAGTCGTTATAAAAATGATTTGAAGATGTGATATAGTTTATGTTGAAAGTGCGTGACATCGTATGGTCACAAAATGTGACATCTTACGACCAACACCCGTAGGGGTCAGGATTATAACAGGGCTACACCATTGCTGGTCGTGGTTGTGGTTGATTGCGGTTGATTGCGGTTGATTGCGTGTCATTTTACCCCGACGGCGTGGGTCTCTGTTCATAATAACAACCATTTGTTTGTCTGGTCCAGACTCGATTATTTGTATTCCGTCGTGATGCAGCCGGGGTATTGCAAAACAACGGCATCGTTAAACAACAAACAAACAAAATAGTGTGATCAGGTCATGTCAAAGGGTATGAAGTAACGGTACTTCGAGGGTGTGACAATGTATGCTGAAAACGTTAACATTTCATTTAGCTCTTTCTGCAAACAGTACAGGTCTCGTTTGTTCAAAATTTGGATAACGTAGAGAAATAAACTGCATTTTTGTAGATTTTAGTGTATAAGTGTGCATATTTTATACTTAAAAGCATATTTCCATATATTTCCACAGCCGTAACACGATATTTTATTGTTATCCAGCGATATGGAACGACAGAGACCTTGTACAGGAAAGAAGCTCTGGAGTAGAATATCAAACCCTGAACACCTCCAAATGGTGGGATGCGGCACAAGGGTGTGAGGAGTTTGGAGGGCAGCTGTATGTTCCCGGGTCCGAAGACATCCCCCAAGACCTGATGGACGCTCTGGATGAAGATGAACTCTATTGGGTTGGAGCCGTGAAGAATTCCAAGTGGATATGGACGTGTGAGCAATGACGTTACAATTCAAATGACCAATCACATCAAATCCATTGAAAATATTTGGTATCTTTTATAAATAACATGTTTATCTCATCTTGTGAACACCTTGTGTTAGGATGAATGTCGCCGCGGCGAGAAAAAGTGTTAAGCTGATTTTGCCACGGGATGAGAGATAAACATGTCATCTGGCATAAAAAGTGTTCTGGGGCGGGCGGGTAGCCTAGTGGTTAAAGCGTTAGCTCGTCACGCCGAAGACCCGGGTTCGATTCCCGACATGGGTAGAATGTGTGAAGCACATTTCTGGAGTCCCCCGCCGTGATATTGCCGGAATATTGCTAAAAGCGGCGTAAAACCATACTCACACACTCACTAAAAAGTGTTCAGTTTATTATGTATTTTCGAACGTGTTTTTCGGGACCTCCTCTGAAAACCATTGTGTTAAGGTAGTTCCAAATTAAGTGTTATTTCACTTGATTAAAATATCGATGTTATTTGTGGAAATATACATGATCACTTTCATCACTAAATACATGCGAATATGTGCATATGTAACTCCACGGCGATTTTAGAACGTAGGACCCTATGGTCGTTTAAGGCAACAAAATAAGATCGGATGATCACAAAGTTTTCAGTAATGTATTATTATCCGTAAATAGCTGACCACCTGAAGATTTCAATTGATACCTAGCTAAATGTGTGACTTCGAACCGCAAAGGCATGACTCGGTGCTCACACGGTCGATCCCTGGTTTGTCTGGGAAATGGAAAAGGTAACATGTACATTTTGTTTCTATGTTTAATTCTTTTAAAAAATCGTCATATGTTATGTTCGGATTCCCGTTAGGGTCACGGGTACCATGTCGTCTAAGGCACCGCTATTCGAAACTTATGAAACTTGGTTCTAATCCCGTTTCTCCTTGATTATGTTTTAAGGTTTGTCTGCTAAATATCCATGTTCGTGGGTTTCATCAAATCAAAATGCTAACTGTTTAAAATCTGCGACACTTCGGCTATCCTCCCACATGAAGCTTAAACGCCGTGATATAAATAAAATATTGTCCAAAGACGCTCACAAACTCCTAATCCACGTTAAATAAACGTTTTACGATGATTATGACATAAAGCAAAGAAGTTACAGTCCGGATCGGAATACTACTGGCATACTACAGTGAGTGAGTGAACTGGGTTTAAAGCTACTTTGAACACTTTTTCAGTTATATCAAGTGATGAAGGGCTAAAACTTTTGACACTGTTGTGAAGCACATACGTCGTGTATGAGGCTGACAAACCAATGATGATAAACAGCATAATTCGAATCCACGTACAGCGGATTCTGCATGGCTAAGGGACGCAACTCAAGATTTGACAGAAAGGCATGCTCGTGTGTCATCACTAGAGCCGTTTACATCTGTTACAGCCGACTCCTCCCCGCTGTACACCTACGTCGGCTACAAACCCACTCCTGACATGGAGAAAACCCTTATCCATGGAAACTCAGCGTTCCAGTGTCACTTGCAGTGTGATGACGACAATACTGTCGGTTTGAGGGTTAGTAGCTTTACAATCATGTTTAGCTAAGTCATTGCGTCAAAGATAAGGATGATATAAATTTCTAAACAGAGTGAGTGAATGTGCAAGAATATATTCCCCAAAATAACACAACACCTATTTGTGTAATTGAAAGGCAAAACACAAGCTTGTAAATTGCTATAACCTAAAGGTTCCCCAGCTTGGAACTTTTAATAGTTTCCAATCGTTTCTAATAAGTCTTTAAATAACACGTGACAGGCATCGGAAAACAATTTACAAGTCTTTGAAAGGCATTTAGAAGTGATACACATAAGGAAGAGAATTTATGGATGTCAGCTTCTTTATTACTGTTACTTTACTATTACTTTATTCATTATGTTTCATGATGATTATCGCGTTCTGAATAATATTTTCGGTTTTTACCAAAGCGCGACAATTACATGTAAGTCGCGTTTGGTTTAATTTGATCGGTCATGGCTTTGAAAGGGAGACAACACGACAAAATTAACTCACTGTGACTTTATTCAGGGTGAGGAGTGTTATTGCTTGACGACGGCGGTCGCAACTCCTACCACAAACACTTCTCAGATCAGATGCGCGGGCAACTTTGACCAATGGTGTGGCAATGAAGATGGAATATCACTTTATCAAATAGGTAAGTCTTGTCACCGATCGGTCGTACACTGGACCAAGTGTTTCTATGTGAACTGATGGAACCAAAACTACAGAGCATAGTAAAAAATAAATAAACTGAAGATCATGGTTTTCAAATTGATACATTAAATCACGACAGCATTACGTTTTGAGGTACCCCTCGGCTAAGGTCAACTGTAAAACACAAAACGTCAGTTGGAACCTGGAGTCTGGGAACACACACCATAAAAGGCGTGTTTAAACTTTTCAGGTGAGGTGTGGTGAAATGGGGTTAAACGTCGCGTCAAAGATTATTGCACATATATAGCGACGTGCATGCACGTTTGTGTGTGTGTGGCTGCTTGTACTAGTCCGGACTGATGGCGATTTATAGCGCTAGCCCACTGAGATACCATGATGCAGTTTAACATGAATACCCCACTCAGACACAGTATACTGACTCCGAGCCGACGAGTCCTTATTATAGCCCCTTAATGCCGAGCGCCAGACAGGGTAACAACAAGTACCATCTTTTAACGTCATATGGTATGACGCGGCCGGGGTTCTAACCGCGGACCTTCCGCTCTCCGGGCGGACGCTCTACCACTAGACCACGGAGGCGGTCTGAATATTTCAGAAATCTATGGTAGACATTGAAAGAAAGTTACTCAAAATAGTTGCGTCGCTTATCAGCATGACGCGTGTTGCTATCCTATATCCTTTACATTGATTGTTCACGCCTCCTTAATCACTGGCACTTAAGTTTTAAATATACATCATCATTCGTGACCAACTCGTCTTATTCCGGGACAAGCCGAATAGCGACTCGTGCCCCTCTGGTGGCCACTTTTGCAACCGGGTTCCGTCTTAGCGCAAACGGGCATACCTAAAACAATTGTCAACTCGTTGCGCAATGGTTCACATATATTTCCCCATATATTATTTATATTTCAGATGCAATTTAAAGCACATCAGGACATGCGAAATTATACAGTATGAATGAACACATTTAACTGTGTCTTGGGTACATTTTTAGATGCAAGACATATGTAAAAACAGAAATTATTTCTGAGGGATTCTTTGACGAAGAACTTGAAATCATACGCGTATTCTGATTGGTTTGTCGTATTTTCGCACATAACATTCATCGGAACGAGTCTTCTTGCAGGTTACGGAAAGGGGCGAGTGGTGACGAATGATACATCATGTGAACTGGTTGGCAACTGGTTGAGTCGGACATGCTTGCTCTTTTCGCGAACACCTGGTGTCATCACTGATTTTCACTGATCCATTTCAGATAATTTCCATCTCAATGTTTCCTTTTACGTCTTATGGAATCTGTTTCGGCAGATATTCGAGGCTGGTTAGACCCTGGCGTTAACGGTTTGAATTTTAACAGTTCTAGATAACACTGACATAGTTCTACACGCGGACGGAGAATGTGTTTATGCAAAGAAGGAATGGAGAAGACGTATCAGCTTACATCTAGATGAGAACTGTGACAGTGAGAGGTCTCTGGCATGTGAAGGTAAGAGTCCCGTCAATGTGAACATTCAGAATGTTTTAACGCCACACTCCAGCTATATCACAGCGGCCTGTAAATAATCGAGTCTGCATCAGACAATCCAGTGATTAGTCATGATATCAGGGGCATTATTCAACGCCGTCAGGAGCCTGAACACCTCATCTATTTCGTCACCTTTCATGACAAGCTGCAATTAAAAGTGGTAATCGCACGACATGATAGGGCACTTTTTGGCCAACATGATCTGTAGTATATACGAAATGTTCAGAACTCGATTAGAAAAATATCAAATATAGTATTTTGGACATGATAGTTTTTTTCAAAACTTGTATATTTTGGATTATAACCACACAAGCCTAAAATTAGACTTTAAGTGTTTTCGTGAAGATTTTTTCTAATATTTTCCATTTGCTGACTTTGACCCAAGCTAAATTTCTTAGTAGGTTTACATGTAGGTTAAGACCTTATAAATATATCACAAGAGCACACACGCACTTTCTCAAAGTTAGACTTCCTCTTTGCATACGAAAGATGTGCCGTTTTCATCCATGTTAGCAATATATTATGTACTTGATCCTATCAAAGGGGTAGAAATTAGAAATGAAAGAATCCAAATTAAAGAATCGTTGACACGGAGTCTTGGGTGAGACAGGTGATATATTGTATGTACAGGTAGTTTCACATCGTTATCAAATATTGTTTCGCACACGCACACATACACAAACACGCGCATGCACGTCGCTTTATAGGTGAAACAATCTTGCATGCGACGTTAAACCTCATTTCATCACACCTCACCTCCGAGATAAGGTGTTTCCGGAATGAAGGGTTTTACTTGTATATTTTGTATATTGATTTAGTTATTTGGCAGACCCAGAGGTATCATTGGCAGGTACGCTAATATCACTCATTAACCAACAGCACCGCTACAGGATAAATCACGTTGCCGGAGAACCGTATGTGTCAAACATGATGACAAGACGTGGGACCAGTCAAACAGAACACAGCCTTTGCTGAAGGTCAACGACGCCAATCGGGGACATCTGTATGATGCTATGGATCGCCGGCATAGATACTGGATTGGTTTGAGAAGAATGTACTTCTGGAAATTGATCAATGGTAAACTTGCAAATCGAACCTATTTTTAACCATTCACCTAAAAGGTGAAAAGTTCTTCAGACCCTAACGGCTTTGTTAAAGGGTACACTAAACATGCGACACATGGATTTCGTATTGAATAAAACATGAAATATTCGACGATGGTTAGTTGCTAAACAATCTACAGCGTGTCTACATAAAAATCGTCACAACGATGTCATAACCAAATGTAATTGTTATCACCCCACCACCACCCCAACCCCCGTCCCCAGCCCCACCCCAGAATATGAAATGGTGGGTCCCTAAGAAGTTGTTAGAGGTATTTAAACAGTTGTTAAACTTGTTTCATGCCCGGTTAATGTTTGTGAATGAAATATGGTTTAACTTGAGACTAACAAAAAAAAGAATGATTGAATTCACGTCTTCCGCGTGTATGTCAAGATTCTCGTGTTACCTGTTGCTAACGGACACATATTTCTGTCACAGGACTGGACGTGAGTTCTACCCTTGACGACGACAGCGGCCTGCTTGAAGCCTGCCTTACTGTACGGAAAGTGGGGGACGAGTTATCTCCCTCTGTCAGTTTTGCCTGGTCCCCCTGTGAGGAAAAACTGCAACCTCTCTGTGAATCAGGTTGGTCGGTGTTTACCTGCATCCTTTCTGTTGATCATCGGTTATTTCTAGCTGAAGCAGTTAGTCGCTTTTGTCTCAGTCTGTGTTATAATGCTCAATCTGTTCGTTAATTTTACCTTCATTCCATGTATTGATAGTGAATTATCTATTTGTTAGTCAGATTACCTATATTCCGTGTGTTGATAATCAGTTATATATTTTAGTCAGTTTTACCCCCATCCCGTGTGTTGCTAATCAGGTATCTATAAGTCGTCAGTTTTAACTGAATCCCGTGTGGTGATTATCTATCTATCTATCTGTCTGTCTGTCTGTCTGTCTATCTATCTTTCACTTAGTCCATGTGGCCACAATCACATCCGAGCTAGTGCCACCACATACCCGTGGGGGCGGTCGGGTAGCCTAGTGGTTAAAGCGTTAGCTCGTCACGCCGAAGACCCGGGTTCGATTCCCGACATGGGTACAATGGGTGAAGCCCATTTCTGGTGTCCCCCGCCGTGATATTGCTGGAATATCGCTAAAAGCGGCGTAAAACCATACTCACTCACTCACTCACTCACTCATTCACATACCCGTGACATGAGAAGATAATACAGCGTAGCGTGTATGTAATCCCATCTGTTTTAGACCAACGCTTGTATCTCAAACACAAAGAACGAGAAAGATTTCTGTTTGCATTCTATGGTGTCAGACTTCATCTATCCTCTCATTGCTATGTCAACGGGGAACGTATGTATATATTTAATAGGAAATATCTACATAGATATAATTCGTTAATCTGGCAATTTGTCTTTACGGAAAATTTCCTTGATATTGAGAACGTCCCGACAAACGGTGCTCCAGTGTTCATGTCTAAACATATCAATCTTGATCTGTTCTAACTGTTTTCACAAGTAAACTTTTTATGTAATATTTGTTTGATTTAGCGAAACTAGGGAGGACATATATACCCGAACCACCGCCGTCCACTGCTCAACCAACGACTTCGACGGGCACAAACCAGACAGAGCTCTTCGGAGAAAACACAGGTGAGTGAACTTTACAACAGGCTGAAGAAAGTGTGCTCGTGTTAAGTCTTAATACTACAACGGCTACAACGTTTCCACGTCTAATAGTGTGTCTGGTTTCACGCCGCTTTGAACATCAATTCGGTTACAGGCGTGTCCGTTTGATGTGGGAGGGAAGCCCGAAGTGATACGGGTTTTAAAGTTTACCACTGTGAAACCCACAAGCATGGGTATGGTGATGACGGTATGGTGCTGACAACCCTAGAAACATTATCAGAGGGAATCTGGGATTCGATTATTTGGCCATACGTTTCTGGCACGCCTTAGGGAGGCATCCCTGAACTGCGAATTCCGGCGCTATATGTACTAGATAATAGAGGCGGACGAGGGATAGTACAGTAGACTACGGTTTAAACGAACACGCTTATAACGAACTGACGGATATAACGAACTTACTTTTTGGTCCCGACTATTTGCTGTAGTTATGCTGTATATATGCTTATAACGAACTACGGTTATAACGAACTAAAATTAGTAGTCCCTTTGAGTTCGTTATAACCGTAGTTTACTGTACTTTACTGGGATACAAAGGTACAGTTGTGGGTGAGTGAGTGAGTTTGGTTTGACGCCGCTTTTAAAAGTATTCGAGTTATATCCAGGCCTGTCATCATAATGTGGGAGGTATAGTCGTGAGAACAACGAACGAAAAACTACTAGTACCGTTCGTCTTTCTCCCCTCCTCTTCTCCGAACTGCTTCACGTCATCCTGCAGTACCCACGACAGCTGGTACTGCATGCATCGTCGCAACATCTGCTTCAGCATCTCAAACTGCCAGTAAATCTGCTACTATTTTCCGTCCACTTGATATATCTGCCGCTATGAGTCTCCACGTATTTTCTGTCATTATTACCTGACAATGTCTTGCACATTTACACTACACTTCCATATAATGCACTTCTTTTCCACCTTGCCCATTCTAAACGTTTCAATACCCATTGTCACAACGATGTATTTATTTCTTCTTGCTATCACGTGGGTTTGACATCATGTTCACGTTTATTCCATCCATATAGTGCGTGCGTGCGTGCGTGCGTGCAGGCTTATGTCTGTCTGATACCATGCCGCAGTTTAACATGGACACCCCTTTCAAACACTTTAAGATCAGTCCTTATTTTTTTCCGTTAATGTCGAGCGCTAGGCAGGGTAACAATAATTATCATCTTTTGACCTCGTTTGGTATGACGCGGCCAGGTATCGAACCATTGTCCTTCCACTCTCCAGGCAGACGTCCTACCCCACAAAAGGGTCTCCTTTATTCCTATTTAAAAGATATTCCATACATATGCCGCTTGAACATTTCTGTCTTTTCCCGTTATTTCAGGCAATCCTGGGGGCTATATTGGAGCTGTCATAGGCTGTGTTGCTGTTTTGATTTGCTGCATCGTTCTGGTACTATTTATAAGACGGTAAGGTTACTGGAACTGAACTTCTTATTGTATAGGGCACTACATCGGTGACCAGCTAGGGTACATATCTACATCCTGATTCAGGCCAGGGTACATCTCTATACACAGAACAGTACCAGGGTTACGCGTCTGTAATTACCTGCAAAACAACGACCCCTTCATCGTTACCGGAGAAAATATTTGCTTTACAAATGTTTTCGTTATATTGCCTTCTGGCTTTTACTGTAAATGCTCTTTATAACGTTTAGAAAATGGCACTCTTTCCATCTATAATGCAAGGAATAATATAACTATCGACAGCTAGAGTTTGTGTTTTAGTCACTTGAGACGTCTTAGTCGTTTAGGGTTACAAACTTTAATATGCGTTTTTGTCTCTATCTGTTCCAATAGTTAACATTTCTTCAGGAAAACACAATTATTCACCCCTTCCCTCGCGAACGATTCTGACTTGATGCAGGAAAAACAGAAAATTTACCCTCTCTCTCCTGAATAAGTGCGTGAGTGAGTGAGTGACCCGTGTATAATGCCGCTATGAACACTAGGGTAGAACTGATGAGAAGCTTGCCTGTTCCGTCTGACAGATGATCCCGTACGCATAGGAGAGTTGCCAAAAAGGTGGAGTATTGTCAAAATAGGTTGGGTAAATAAACTGGTACATTATTCTTAAGACAAAGGGATAACAATCCGCGAGGTAATGGATAACAATATCAGTGAGTGAGTGAATATGGTTTTACGCCGCTTTTAGCAATATTCCAGCAATATCACGGCGGGAGACACCAGAAATGGGCTTCACACATTGTACCCATGTCGGGAATCGAACCCGGGTCTTCGGCGTGACGAGCGAACGCTTACACCACTAGGCTACCCGACCGCCCCGATAACAAAATCAAAAGCAATGGATGTAGTAATAAAAATGTAACATATAAACACAAAAACGTCACAATACGGCAACAAAGATCTGATAGGGGGCACGGGTGGCCCAGTCGTCTGAGGCGCCGCGATTCGCTGTGCAGAGTTGCGTCCCTTTGGCACGCCAGAAACCTATGATTGTGGGTTCGAATCCCGTTTCGCCCCCATTATGTTTCTAGGTTTGTCAGCACCATACCCGTGCTCGTTGGTTTCACCGAAGTGTTAAACGTCTGAGACCTGCATCACTTCGGGCTTTCCTCCAACATTAAGTTGACACGCCGTGATATAACTGGAATAATGTTAAAAGCGGCGTTAATCCCAACTCACTCACTCACTCAAAGATCTGATAGTTGCTGTTCTATTAATCACGACCCATGTTGATATAGAAAAAAATGCTTGTCTCCAAGGTAACAAACATTTATACTAATGTGATCTTTATATTTGTTTATCTAAATGTCATGTCTCTCCCTGTTTTTCAGAAAGAGGATATTCTGTTTTGCGAAAAAATCAGACACACAAACAACAGCAACCACCTTCCTCAACCCCGCCGCTGGGAGCACGACCTACTCTCTAGCCACATCTACTGACCCCTACTACTCTATGCCAAATCCATCCAACGATCAGTTACCCGACCCTTTTGTTGACCGGTCCATTCTCAAGCAACAAACTTCGGACCCTTATTACTCTACCCCAGCTTTACAAGAGAAACCATCTCTTCCCCTCGCTGTCGTCATGCCATACCGACCATTAGAACAAAGTCTCTACGTAAACTCTCCAAAGATTGCAAAGGAAGGAGATTACAATAGTTTCTCTGATACTGAGAAGCTGAACAGTGAGACGCCTGGAAATGCATACAGTCATGCTTTGGGTTTATTAAATAACAGTTATAAAGGGGAGTATGATACCGCAAAGTCAGTGGGCACTGATGATGAAAATAAAGGCACCCAGGATCAGAAGGAAGAGGGTGATGGAGTTTATGATATCGCTGATGAAACTGAGCATCAAATGGCAGATGGGGAATACGACAAAGCGAATATTTTACGTAATAATTTGGCTCTTACTGGAAGTAACGCAAGTCAGACATCTGTTGCCAGTTATGAAGATCTTGTTGAGCCTAGTCATGATTTTCAAGCGTGTACTCCGGCTCAGAGTGTTGCTGAAGGAGGTGATGGCGATTTCTATGAAATACCCGTTGGAGGAGAATATGATATTGCAGATGGGACCCAAAACATCTCCTCGGGTGTTCCTCAAAGAGTTTCTCCCGGTACTTCTCTGTATAGTATTGCTGACATTGTAACAGATTCCGGTGAAAAACACACGCTCCATGATAAAGATATTCGAATCGGTGCTATGCAACCTGGAACAGGCCATACGTCTAAGATACCAAACCAGGGTATTCCTGATACCAACAACGTCGAGGAAACGGATATTTATGAATGTATTGACTATACCAACCCTGACCACATTGACGGAGGTGAGGATAAGAACGCTGTCACTGAAGGCGAAGGCTCTGCGTGGCAGCACGGGTCAGAAACAGCCAACATGTCAACCTCTGAGGATGCTGAGGAGGATAGAGAACATATATATGGCAATATGGAAGAGGTGTCAGGCTCCGGCACTGCTGGTTCTTCACAAGATGGCCACTGCTACTACAACATAGTCAGCGACACCAACGCTCTGTCAACACTACCATCAACTCAGGGCAACGGTGGCGACAATGTCTATTCTCTGGCTACTGATGCACTGGCCTGACCAGCATGGCCTATTTGTTTGTCGGTGTGATATATACGCTCTTTCTTGATGTAATGTTAATGTGGAACCATTTACGTCAATACCGGTGCCAATGAAAGAGTAATCAAGACGGCTAATATCTCATGTACTATTATCATACGACCTATAACACATATATTATTGACACAGGATGTCTTGGAGTGCAAATAATAAAAAAACACAAATATTGCCAGGGTTGTTTGGGAGATAGTATACGTCAAAGCTGTATTGAAATAAAGTTTCATTAAGAATACAAACAAACCAAAATGAAGAAAAGGGCATTCTTTCAATCAAAAACAACTTTTTGTATTTCATACAAAATTGATCTTTACAAAAAACATGAAAGGCTTGTCCATAAAACAAGACATTAAATTGGTCTGTTCTTTTGGCAGTTTCCTAGTCAGTATTTCACTCTGTGATATGAGGTTCAGATTTATGACAAATGCTCTGCTTCACCATCATTGGCATATACCCTGCAACATCATGCACGTGATACACCAGATGAAACCATTGTTGAATTTTCCCGTTTGTTTGTATATTTGAAACCTGACAAAAGTTGTTGTTTATCCAGTTTATGTAAATATTTTTGAATTGGAAATAAATAAAAACAAATAATATTTGAAGCCCAAGAGATATTGTTTCATCAGAATGAGGGAGTTAATGTTTGTTACGCCAATACGCATGTGTTACTGCTAAATGACGGCGACCAGTGAGTAGAAGAATCTGTTACATGCAGGGGCGGTCGGGTAGCCTAGTGGTTAAAGCGTTCGCTCGTCACGCCGAATACCCGGGTTCAATTCCCGACATGTGTACATTGTGTGAAGCCCATTTCTGGTGTCCCCGCCTTGATATTGCTGGAATATTGCTAAAAGCGGCGTAAAACCATACCCAATCACTCACTCACTCACTGTTACATGCAACCAGTTGTTGGTATCATGAACAACGTCCCAGTGCGTCTGGGCGTGATGACATGCATCCATGTTGATGTTAGAAAGCGGGGAATCAGTAACCCTTATGCGGAAGAAACATTCTCTCATATTCTACATCCTCAGTTCATATCGAAATCAATGCTGTTATTTAACGTTATTTCTTAAACGTCATTAGTAATAATGATGCGTAAGCAGCCTCTGATCTGATCGCCGAAGTCAAGTTTGTAAGGTGAAAGTTTAGGTCATGATAATGAGGGGCGCAATGACACCGGATCATCACCAACACAACCCTTGCCGTAGCATGTCATACCAATTTATTGTGGTGACGCGAAGGCCACGTTTCTAATCACCGCATGACCCAATTTGTCTCTTCACATCCAAGACCACAGTTATGCAGGTCTTTACCACTTTGGGGGGCACGGGTGGTCCAGTCGTCTAAGGCGCCGCGATTCGCTGTGCAGAATTGCGTTCCTTGGGCACGCCAGAAACCTGTTATTATGGATTCGATCCCCGGTTCGCCCCCATTATGCTTCTAGGTTTGTCAGCACCATACCCGTGCTCGTGGGTTTCACCGAAGTGGTAAACGTCTGAGACCTGCATCACTTCGGGTTTTCCTCCCACATTAAGCTGACACGCCGTGATATAACTGGAATACTGTTAAAAGCGGCGTTAATCCCAACACACTCACTCACTCACTCACTTTACCTCTTTGATGAAACCAACGAGCATGGGTATGGTGCTTACAAAACCTAGAAACATAATCAGGGCGAACCGGGATTCGAACGATCAAAACTTGCCCCGTGAATATGTGGTCACATCCTTCCAAACCCTTTCCATATTCATAAGAAATCTCTGCCAAAAGCAGAGTCGATTGTACTGCTCATTATTGTGCTCACAAACCAAAAGTCAAACTCAATCTTGGCATGCTTCAGAGTGAGTAAGTTTGGTTTATCGCCTCTGTAAATCGTACTTCAGTTTATCACAGATTGTTGTGGGAGGAGTGCCCAATGTAATCCATGTCTCAAACGTTTACAACATTATCGACTCTCACGAACACGGGTATGACGCTGACAAACCTAGAAACACAACCAGGGCTAATCTTGTATTTAAACCTTGATCAAAGATTTCTGGCAGGCCTAAGGGACGCAACTCTGCACAGCGAACCCTGCACATGCGACTTGGCCCTCGTATCGACAATAAATAATATGTCAGATATGTAAACTACAAAGTTTTTTAGGACGCAAAACGGTCCCTCGAGGAGGTGTCTCATGATATTATACATTTTAGATACACATATCGGGGCTTTTCATCTTGTTTACGTTAAGTATGATCATTATTATTACTATATCAGTTTGTCATACTCATTTGCTTTAACCGTTTTACTCGTGTAATTGTGTGCGTATATTGTTTAAATACGCGCCGAATTTGTGTGTAATGATCTATGACCGTATGAACGTATACGCATGACGATTTCATACACTGTTATACTTCGTGTGTTGAACGTCAAGTGTGTCAATCGGCGGTCGTCTGACATGAAAACCGCTAGACCTACCGACCCTACCGCCGCCACCACCACGACCACCCCCAACCCCAAACCCCCCAACCAACCCCAACCCTAACCCCCATATTCACAATGTGCCAGCCTGGTTAGTTCTCACTCACTAACTCAACACAAAACTATGACACTGAAAATGTTATTAATGATATAATTCGGTTTCTGGTATAATTCGCTTCAGGAATTGTTCATATTTAAACCCTATTCAGAGATTCAGTCTTCGTAATAAAAGCCTGATTCGTCAAAAAATAACAATCGTAGTTCAATATAGTACCTGGTACAAAACAAAACGTAGTTCATTATAAAAGCACTATTCATGACAAAATTCATTATATACATTTGATTCGTGATAAAACCTGGTTCGTTTTGTGCACAATATCCTTAATGCAATAACAGTAAATTATGAAACAATTATGTTCATGGTAAAATCTTATTCAGCTGTTTCACAATTGCGGTAACATGTAATTAATTTCTAATCATAAGAAAGCTGCACTAAAAAGAGACACAACGAACAATACGAGCAGGCCGCACCTCGGTATCCCGGGTCATGGTACTTATGGATGTGAACATAACAGTAGATGCAACAAGGATGAATCATGTCCTGACCAGTGTCATCAGATCCTGCCTGTTGGTTTCCGTTTGAGAAGTACTTCCTGGTTGAATGTGATGGCGAACGTGGCTGCCTCGTGGCTCCTCGTGCTCTCTGTCTGGCGTGTTGCTGATGCAAATTACTTTTGTAAGTATTCAAATGATTATGATTGTCCAAAGTGAATTGCTACTAATTTCCGATTACAAACATGATGCAGAACACATACGATGACCAGTTCAGAAGTACTTAAACGTGAACTTGAAACTTGATTTTCAGTGATCCATTCATATTATTTTCACCGCAATTTTGCCCTTACGCCCGATGGAATCTGTTTCGTCAGACAGTCGAGACTGGAGATTCTTTGGCGTTGACGTTTGGTATTATATTGCCATGAAGCATGTCAGATCATGCGTCATATCATATCGGAGAAAAATGCCTTCACAAACAGTGATTGAATACTATTTTACGCGGGTCTCAAACATCACGGCGGTGTGAAGACAAATGACCAGACAAGCCAGTGGTTGATATTATGAGTTACGTCCGACGCCGTTTGGGTACGATGACACGCAATCGACCAAGTCATGGAGAGTGACCAAACGTTCGAGTCTAGAGCGAATGGCTACTGAGGGCTTATTCTATCCCGGATATAATGTGGTAAATATAGCAGTTATCACCATTGTACACTATACATATTTAAACACATGTACCAGTAGCAATATAACAGTAAAATGAACCCTCGTTTAGTTCAGTCTTGTATACCGTGACAACTTAGAGTTAATAATGGGGAGAGTGTATACATTAGATAACATTCTGTGGAGGCCATTTATATAATCTAGCCTCAGTGCTCGTAATGTGATGAGATGGTGTCTATTCCCTGTTGTCTGTTTGCTCATCAACTGATCACACGTATGCCTTTGATGCCTGTGAAATGTGATATTAAGCGCTCACAATGACGGATGTAATGTTATTTCGTTAGTCCATGTCAGAGCACGGACCTAGAGTATCTGTGAGGAAGTGTTACTACGATTATTCCGATCTTAAGGTCAGATTCAAATGGGACAGAAACCATTGCGTTCTAGTGGCGCGGATCGTTGCTCGTGCTGTCATCACTCATTTGCCTCATCTTGACCCGATTATTCATCTGCCGCCGTGATAACCTGGGATGTTGCAGACTGGCACCATTTACTCACTCACTCTCTAACTCTGGTTATTTCAGCCCATTGGTACGAGGATGGCAGCCCTGCGACGGATGCCACGGTCAGGTATCACACTACTACAACAGAAAGTAGCTGGTGGGAGGCTGCGCGAGGAGGGTGTGAAGGGGGAAGAGTCTTCATCCCCAAGTCTAGCGTATTACCTGACCCCATAAGACAGAACATGACCTCAGGTCAATACTACTGGATAGGGGCAATTGAATATTCAACATGGAAATGGGCAGGTACGGAATTTGTTTCCAAAACATTTGGGCATATTTATCAGAATCATGTTTGAACATCTTACACATATAATTGCCTCTGAAAAGTTACAGTCTTCCCTTTGACAAAATTCATAATTGTTGCCACAGCATGCTTGACACCAGAGACGGCCTCTTATTTTTTAAAAAAAGACATGCATTTAGACAGAGTGACCGAAATCAGCGGAGTATCAAACTGTATTTACAGTTTACAGCATAGACACTTCCCTTTACATTTATAAAGCCTGCCGGGCAAAGGAAAGTATACTTCCATGTTTGAAAGTGGCTAAGCATGAAACAAACAAGAACTTGTTATGGTGATGTATTTGATACCGTTATTTTCGGCGGTTTTCAGCCAAGTAACGTTTTGATAACGTTGGTAATTATTTGGACCAAATAATTCAGGTTCAGGTGTATTCTCTTTTTTGCCTGACAGTTTATATTCTCCTCAGGGGAATTATTCAAGTAGAATATTTTATTCATTAAAGTGACACTTTCTGAAATATATACGAAAAAGTGTTTTTTTAACCATCAACATGATCAAGGACTGAGACTTTGTGCCATGAAATTAAACCAAATTGTCCTACATGATTTCCAGATGTCAAGCTCTCAGGTCGAGATCACACTATGAAACGTTTGTTTCCCTTTCTTAGAAACTGCTCTCAAAATGTAGTAATTGTTTGTTCGAAATAGCACGAAAAGAAATAACCTTATTTTTAAGCATGGGAGCGCTTCAATGGCTTTATACAATTTGACAAAAATTGTGTTTTTACGAATGTGTGTTCATAGTATAGCTGATGATAAATATTAAAAGAAATATACCATCAAGGCAAAACCTTCAACCGAATGTTGACATTGTTTAGATGAGAACTTAACAAGAACGTGCAACAAGCATGTTTCCTTGGTTGATGAGAAATAACTCTGTTTGAATCAGGTTCATGACTGTAGTACACTTATTTACATTGCAGACGGAGTCCCTTTCTTCACCTACATTGGTTACAGTTCAAAACGCTTGCCAAGCTCTAATGGTCATCATATCGACGGTAACTCCGCCTCCCGGTGTCATTTACAGTGTGGGGGGGACGGGCCCTTTGGACTGAGGGTAAGATTTAACTCTGTTATGTGTTATTAGATCATTATCTACAGAATGACCTTATAATTATGATAAAGAGTTTATTGCCCGCATCGTAAATATAATTTATTGGGAATTAAAAAGGTTCGTATAAGAATGTCTTTATTCCTAATAATACCCTTGTTTGGGCATCTATTAAATTTCATACTCAATCGGATTTGCAATCATTTTCGGATTTGCAATCATTTTCGGATTTTTCTGTTAAACGACCGAAAATGTTATCCTTTACATTTTAACGTGGGTAATGGACAAGATACTCCTGAGTTTACATGTACACTCTTCAAAAAAAGAAACGAAGGAAGTATGAAGTTCATTGAACCTGACTACACAAAAAATCCGGTATATAATTTGGATATATGTTATTGGAAAATGTTGGTGCCCTGATATTCGACAAACGGTGCGTCGAAACGCGGCCATTGTCGATTTGCCATGTCTTAAACGGCATTGTTTTCACACTTGTTAAAAAATGTCGTGGAATAAAAACAGTAAAGCGAAGTGCACGTGAAAGTTCTGGCATTCGTAACTCGTGGTAATGGCTATAAAAAGGCAAGCATAAACCGATAATTTGTCATTCAGTTTTCAACATATTTCAAGTTCGAAAATGCCGAGACTCAGCGCTGCCGATCGGAACACCGCCATTGGACGTATCCAAAGAGGAGAATCGCTGTCTTCTGTTGCAAGTCACTTCAACGTCCGCCACAGCAGAATTTGCCGCCTTTGTGACACAGAGTTCAATTCCACTGCAAACCGTCCGACAACCGGCCGACCAAGAGTTACCACCCCTGCATAGGATCGCTACATTCGACTGTTCCACCTACGTCATCGCAAAGCCACAGTTACGGAGACTGCAGGACGCATCCCTAGATTGAGGAGGATATCCGACCAGACTGTCAGGAACCATCTTCGCGAGACTGGAATCCGACCCAGAAGACCAGTTATCGTCCGTGTTTTGCAACAGACCGATTGACAGCGACGCTTGCGTTGGTGCCATACCTTACAGCCTTGGAATTTGAGAAACTGGAGACGAGTGTGGCTTGGGATGAATCACGATTTCTTCTTCAACGGCGAGATGGAAGACAGCGTGTTTATCGTCGTCGAAATGGGCGTTTTGCCGCACATTATGTGAATTCGACAATTTCGGTGGCGGTAGTGTCATGGTGTGGGGGGCCATATCCTACACCACGAGATCTGACTTGGTTTTGGTTCAGGGAAATTTGACAGCAAATCGCGACATGAATCAAATTCTTCAACCTCACCTTCTTCGAATTATTGACCGCCAGAGGGAGCTGTTTCAACAGGACTACACTCCACCGCACAAAGCTCGTGTCACGGTAGACAACCTTCATAATACCAATATCAATGATTTGCCTTGCCGTCGAGATCTCCAGATCTCAACCCAATCGAACATCTCTAGGATGAAGTCGATCGACGTGTACGTCAGAACACGCCGCAGACACTCCCACAACTGGCCAACGCGTTACAAGCAGAATGGCGCAGAATTCCGCAGGACAGAATTCGTACACTTATCCAGTCAGTGCCGAGGAGATGCAGAGCCGTGATATGCTGCCCGGGGTGGTCACACGACATATTGAGTTCATCACCACTTTGTGGCCTTATGTGACATTAAATTAAATACATCGACTTTATTAGGTACCATAAATTTACTAAAAATCTACCTGTGCGTTTCTTTTTTTGGAGAGTGTATACGAAACTCATCAACATCCGTGTGTGTCTTTCGCTCGATCAGAAAACACAGAAAGTGCGACGATAACGAGTGCAGTATTTTATACTTATACAGCAATAAGATTCAATGTGAAGTTCACACGATATACAGCTTTTCCACATGGCCTCGAAGCAGATGTTCTAAATCTTATACACGACACATTTTGAAAGCATTTTCTACGAGACACTGACGGACGACTTCCGCTTTACCTGGGGAAAACTCTGTGGATTCCCTTGCACGAATAAATACAGAAGCGGTCATTTGATGTTTTAAATACTTTGAGCACAGCGTTTTCACAAACAGTGATTCAAAGAGTTCGACTGCATGTACGTGATCAACTATCCTCGCTCCTAGTGTACAAAATGAAGCAATGCACACCCAAATTGTCGACTCGAGCCGTGCCTATATACTGTCAGTGAAATCATACTGCAGTCTGCTAAGTGACTTCAATAGCTATTCGACACATCTTTATAATCACCTCTGAATTGTCGGCCAACTGATCAATGATGACCAGTACCACAAGCAGTCTGAGAGACATGTAATGTTTGTGACCAAATATGGTGTGGCTCTGACTCAGTGCAGTGATTCGTGTGTGATTTATTTGTGTGTGTTTATGTACGTGTGTGTGTGTGCGTGCGTGCGCGCGTTCTGAAATAGATTTCATCATGTTTGTAATGCTGTTGTACTGATATCGAACGTTTGCAGTTCTAATGGGTTATTGGCAGCCATTGTATTGGTTTATTCACAATAAATTAAGGCCAGAGGTCCAAGTACATATACATATTAAAGGTAGATTTGCATTGTGATTGATTAATTGAGTATGGTTTTACGCCGCTTTTAGTAATATTCCAGCAATATCACGGCGGGGGGCACCAGAAATGGGCTTCACACATTGTACCCATGTGGGGAATCGAACCCGGGTCGTCGGCGTGACGAGCAAACGATTTAACCACTAGGCAACACCACCGCCCCAAATTTACATTGTGTCAAGAGACAAAGGTTGCATACTATTATTGTTCAGAATATAAACTTTTCTTGATAAATTTTACAAGCTTCTTCAACCATGTTATATTTCTTGTGTTCCTCTAATTAGTGTGAATACGTTCATTTTCATATTCAGTTTGTAAAAAAAATAAATGATTATTTCGTAAATCATTAAATGCAGGGGGTGGATCGGCACGGGTGGCGCCGCGATTCGCTGTGCAGAGTTGCATCTCTTTGGCAACCTATGATTGTGGGTTCGAATCCCGGTTCGCGCCCGTTATGTTTCTAGGTTTGTCAGCACCATGCCTGTGCTCGTGGGTTTCTCCGAAGTGGTAAACGTCTGAGACCTGCATCACTTCGGGCTTTCCTCCCACATTAAGCTGATACGCCGGGATATAACTGGAATACTGTTAAAAGCGGCGTTAAACCCAACTCACTCATTAAAAGCAGGGCGGCTAAACAGAAAATGTAGTTCACCATCTATTTCACCAGTATTACAATGTTATCGGCAGCCATTACTATATGCATAGAAGCTTAGGATATCGATAGATCGATGTTCCGTACGCATGCTGTTTGTGTGGAAGAGCATGGATATTTTGAAGTATGGAATTGAATTAGATACCTGATTTTAGTTTTATTTTGACCACTGATAACCAAGCACGGTAATAGTAGAGTTGAGTATGGACCTCAAGTGAGTGAGTGCCAAACTGTATGAACGAACGATGGAGCTTTCGAGCACGTGAAAGTCAATTCTTTATCACCTTGAATGGGGAAAATGTATGAAAGGGATGTACCTATACTTGAAGGGCGAGACGTGCTACTGTGACTTCTCACACCAGATGCAGGAGAAGCATAACAAAACAGAAGTCCGCTGTCCAGGACACTATGACGAGGGATGTGGAAACCAGAATGGCGTATCTGTGTACAAGAGTGGAGGTAGAGCTAACACATACCTTGACATTGCAAATATAGAATTCGATATCTCTTTCACTTCCATTCACTTTGAATACATGTGTGGAGTCATGATATATTCTATTACGGGAAGGGCTAATCTGAAAGTGTGTGCCGTGTCTCTAATTTTCAGTCAAAGTCAAAATCACTCCAGGGGATGGAGATGCGTGTGTGTATGCAGAAATCACAACCTTACCTTACGGTAATATCGCGTATTATTCATCAAGCTGCAATCACTTAAGATCCGCTGCTTGTCAAAATGGAACAGTAAATGCATGTAAGTACCACTTATATATGGAGCGATAGGGTACCCTTTTGGTTAAAGTTTTCGCTCGCCACGCGGAGGACTCAGGTTCAATTCCCCGTGTACCCGTGAAGATCCGGGTCAGAATAGGTCTTCAGTAAACCATACTTGCCGTAAAAGGCGACTTACTGGATCGGGTGGTCATGTTCGCTGACTCGGATGATGCATGTCATTGTATCCCAATTGCGTGGATCGATGCCCAGGGTGTTAATCACTGATTTGTCTGGACCAGACTCGATTATTTACAGCCCGCTATCATATAGCTGGAATATTCCCGAGTGCGGCGTTAAAAAACAAACAAACAAAAATCAATTTCCGGTGTGGGCGTGACACCAATTTCAGGTGTCGGTCGCCGTGATATTGACGTGGAATAGTGCTAAAGACGGCGTAAAACGCTACTCGCCACTTTGATAAAATGTAACAATTCCGTTTAAGTCTTGTATACCCAACTAACTCATAAATATTACATTACCTATGTCTCCATTACGATAAAAACATATTGCAATTTACCAGCACGGGTATATAATATAATGGTATATAATGCTTGTAGGCATAATTCTAAGCGCTGAACCATTTTAGTTTACAGGTCAACAGACAGTCATGATAGATGCATCGGGGGCATATGTGTTCTTCATACTCTCAAGACGTGGGGAGATGCAGGCCGTATGTGTAACCTGGTGAAGGTGACCAGTGTCAATGAAGGTGACCTTAAAGGTGCAATGGTGCATAGCTTTTTGAGTAAGGACAAGTACACCTACTGGATTGGATTAAGAAGAGTCTACGTGAAGAAATGGTTGAACGGTAGGTTGAGGAATTAAATGCATCCGGACTCGGCAATCACAGTTGAAACTCGTTTGTTTGTCATATGGAAGCTTTCCCCTCAAAGCGCACCAAATATCGACAAATTGAAAACACTTCACGTCCTTGCAATGTTTTCCTCCTTCATAAACTTACCCTCTGATCAATATTGAGACAGAGGATCCATGTCGAAGCAACATCATGTTCAGTTTAAACCTGTTTGTATTCATTTGAAAAAACGAATGCTGGAAAACGAACTGTTATGTTATTCGTTTTGCGAATGACATATAAAGAACAAAACTTGTTCTCCTGCACAGTGGCTTTAGGTGTATGACACATATTCCCACACCCTGTCAGTAGCGGTTGTCGCGTCGTTCCAAAAATACTCGAGCCTGGAGCAGACAATCCAGTGATTGATATGATTGAGCCACGCCGTCGGGGTCCTTAAGTCGCTTCTTACGACAGCATATGTTGCTATGTTTTAATTTGGAATACCATCGGTTTCCCAATTCAGTCGCCTCTAACGACCAGCAATGGGGTGCTGGGGACACATTCTATAACCTGCGCCCCCACAGGGTTCTGCTTTTCAACCACAGGAAGGAAAAATAATTTATTCAAAAGTCGTAGAAACGCAAAATGTGTTCCTCATAGATTAACGCAACTCCATGGCATACACTATTCAATGGGGCTTTGAGCCGTAATTATGCTGGCAAATGAATTATATATATATTTTTTATTTTTTTATTTTTTTATTTTTGGCATCGTGGGGATTGCCGGTCAGAATAGGACCCCAGTTCATCATGCTTGTAAACATTAAGGTCGTTTTGTCAAACCCTTCACAAAGAGGTCGTAGGGCTAACGTACCACTACCGTAAGACAATGGATTCTATGGTTACGACAATCGTGGCCCTACGGTGTCTTATTGAAATGGGGTCAAGGATCGTAGCTCTCTAGGACGGGGTGACACAGACATATAATTATTGCTTTTCTTGTCATATACTAAGGGTTGTTTGTTATTTTGACGCGGGAGTCATTGATACTTCAGCTATATCACGGGGTCTGCAAGTGACCAGACCAGGAGGCCAGAGACTGAAATTATGAGCAACGATATAACTGACCGATTCCTACTTTGTCGAGACATGGGATACTGGCGACCTATTTAGGCCCCACGGAGTCATATGTTCATTTTCCACTATGTCGTTTTGAAATATTTATTTTTAAATTATCAGAATGATGAAACTAACAACTTATTAGAATGATTACTTTAAATGCAAATTATTTCAGGAAGCGACGTGCTTTGCAGTGCAACAGGTCAACCCGTAAACCAAGGATGTCTCGCTACAACCGGGACCTCACTCTTTAGGTGGGAGGATTGTTCCTCTAAATTACCAACTATATGTGAATCGGGTGAGAGATTTTGATTACCACTTTGTTAAACAAATTTAGCCGTTAAGTCAAATTGTAATTCTAACATTTCAAAAGTCAATAAATGAAAATATAGAACATTTGTTTTATAACAGTAATACCTTCAGCAATAATGGTCTTATTCATAATGATAGCAATTCATTGTAAAGTCACGCTGTATTGATAAATGAATAATAACGTTAACAGTCCATCCCGAGTCGACAACATCAGCGTCCACTACGTCATCTGGTCCACACACCTCTTTGAAGTCCATCGACACAGGAACCTCGACACCTACAACCATGTCCGCACTTACCAGTCAGACAGCCTTCACCAGAGCTGCCGTCAAACAACCGGAAGAACCGTTATCAAGTGAAAACGACCAAAGCTATATCAATATAGGTATGATTTAGAGAGAGAGAGAGAGAGAGAGAGAGAGAGAGAGAGAGAGAGAGTTTGGTTTAACGTCGCTTTTAACATTATTCCAGTTATATCACAGCTTAATGTGCGAGGAAAGCCCGAAGTGATGCAGGTCTCAGACGTTTACCACTTTGGTGAAACCCACGAGCACGGGTATGGTGCTGACAAACCTAGAAACATAATCGGGGTGAGAGAGAGAGAGAGAGAGAGAGAGAGAGAGAGAGAGAGAGAGAGAGAGAGAGAGAGAGAGAGAGAGAGGGTGATAGTCTAGCAAATCCCGCCCCACCTCTAGTTTTTAGTTTGTGTACTAACAAAATTTGTGTCTAAAATATTTTTGTCGTTACGCGGAGAATGTCGTCAAAAGCGTCGCAATTCACCGTGCAGAGTTAAGTCCCCTAAGCGTGCCAGAAACCTATGATCGTGGGTTCGAATTCGATATCTGATTAGTGTGCTTCACTGGCAGAAATAGTGAAGTTCACTGTCCACACATCATGTCTGGAGATTATACTAACCAGTTAGTAAATATATGATAATTAGACTGGTATAGGTGGCCTATCGGCGACTAGTATAATTTTACTGATCAGTGAGATGAGATTACTACCGAGCTTTCACAGTTTCTTTCTTCATTAATTTACTAGCTGCATAAAGTATATTTACTAAGAATTTATTGCCAAGTGGTGTTTAACAGACAATTCAGTCAGTTAATGCCAACACCATTATGGGTCATGTCCAGAGACATATTGTTCTGTTAACTTTACCTTCTTATGTCATGTGGGGGGCACGGGTGGTAGTCGTCTAAGGCGCCGCGATTCGCTGTGCAGAGTTGCGTCCCTTGGGCACGCCAGAAACCTATGATTGTGGGTTCGAATCCCGGTTCGCCCGGATTATGTTTCTAGGTTTGTCAGCACCATACCCCTGCTCGTGGGTTTCACCGAAGTGTTAAACGTCTGAGACCTGCATCACTTCGGGCTTTCCTCCCACATTAAGCTGACACGCCGTGATATAACTGGAATACTGTTAAAAGCGGCGTAAAACCCAACACACTCACTCACTCACTCACTCTTATGTCATGTCTTGACCTGAAGTGAAAAAAAGTTGATTGATTTGAACGACAGTTACGTCAAAAACATCGTCTGTCTCTCGCTTCAATGGGATAATCATTTGAACGGAAAGGACGTTGCATTGCCGGTGAAAAGTACTGCCATACAATCGCGACTATATGTTAGACATGTTTAAGTTTAGTTGCACAGCAGGGCAAAAAGTAATTGACAGGTAAATAAAATATACAAGTCTTGTTTTACACTTGCAAACTTAACTAACTTCCCTTCTCACTGAGTACATGCAATAAAGTCATGAAAAGCAAACATTAACAATGTTACCAAGCCAATCATATATAGCTGACGCTCTGCCTCATAATCATCTCCTTGTGTCCTCAAAATGGCGAGCGGGACACTGACCAAGACGGAAGTGAGGAGTGTCACGTGGTCTTGACGGTGAAACTGAAATATGATAGCCCTTCTCGCCACCGCTGTCGCTTGCAATCTACCAGGCATGATAGTAAATTGGATAGTAACCTTCTGGTCGTTGTTACTAATAAAGTTAGTAGAATTCAGCAGCCTTTTTTCTCAGTGTTGGGTTGTCAACACCATACACATACTTGTGGATTTCACCTAGGCAGTAAACATCTAAGATCTGCATGTCGGGCGTTCCAACCAACATGAAGCTGATATAACTGAAATATCGTTCAAAGCGACGTTAAACCAAATTCACCCACTCGATTCATTGTAGTGTAAATTCTTTATTTTGTAATTAACTGTCTGTAATTAACTGTCGTAGCAATAGCACGGTCATGGTTTCAGGTTTGTACTGTGGCCTGTCGGTTCTGGGTGTCGTCATTGGAGCCATCGTTCTAACCCTACTGCTTGTTATGTACAAGTAAGTCAAGATTTCCTCTATAACGGGTGACCGTGGTCTAGTAAATAGAGCGTCTGCTCGGAGACCGGAAGGTCAATGGCTCGATCCTCGGCCGCGTCGTATATAAAAAAACATTAAAAGATGGTACTTGTTCTTACCCTGTCTGGCGCTAGGCAATAGCTCGGGGCTAAAAGAAGGACTGGTCGGCTCGGAGTCAGTATATTGTGTCTGAGTGGGGTATCCATGTAATGCAGAAGGGTATCTCAGTGGACTAGCACTTTAAAACCGGTATTAGTGCAGGCTTGCAAACACACACACACACACACACACACACACACACACACACACACACATGCATGCATATCGCTATATAAGTGCAATAATCTTGAACGCGACGTTAAACCCCATTTCAACTCACTTAACATCTGTATTATGTATATATATTATGCTGATATTAATCTCCTGATAATGTGATTTCAATGTGGGGCCTATTGCGACATGATCCAAAGGAGTGGATCGCTGTTCGTGCTATCAACCACCGGTTTAGTTTTGCCAAGACGTCTCTACATGCACCATGAAATAACTTTAACATCGTTACTAAACACATGGTTCAATATTAAGTTTGAACAACCAGAACCCATTACAAAAGTAAAGAGACTTTGAACTGAGTATTGATTGTTTTACTTTTAGGCAGAAAAAGGGTTGCTTTTCTTCAACGTCACATGCTCGAAGGTCTAACAGTCTCCGTCTCGTAGCCATGGATAACGACCTCTACCTAAGCACGATGCATGTTCAAAATGGGCAAGGACCTTCAACGGCAAATAGAAACTGTGATGATGACGAATACGATCTGCTTGGCCAGAACAAGCATGGGTGTTCAAATGGAGACGAGTTATGCCGTAAGACGGGTGAAGGCAATACAGTATCCAGTGATCCGGGGGGCGCTGCTCACTATAACAGACTGGGTCACAGTGATCCCGCTTCACACCATGACGAGCGTGGTGCTTACGATCATGTGCTGAAGAACCAGACTATTCGGGATGAAACGTACGACCATGCAGGAGACAACGGTGCAGTTCGTAGGGGCGATGACGTGTACGACCATGCAGGAGACAACGGTGCAGTTCGTAGGGGCGATGACGTGTGCGACCATGCAGGAGACAAGGGTGCAGTTTGTAGGGGCGATGACGTGTACGACCATACAGGAGACAAGGGTGCACTTCGTAGGGGAGATGACGTGTACGACCATGCAGGAGACAAGGGTGCAGTTCGTAGGGGCGATGACGTGTACGACCATGCAGAAGACAAGGGTGCAGTTTGTAGGGGCGATGACGTGTACGACCATGCAGGAGACAAGGGTGCAGTTTGTAGGGGCGATGAGGTGTACGACCATGCAGGAGACAAGGGTGCAGTTCGTAGGGGCGATGACGTGTACGACCATGCAGGAGACAAGGGTGCAGTTCGTAGGGGCGATGACGTGTACGACCATGCAGGAGACAAGGGTGCAGTTCGTAGGGGCGATGACGTGTACGACCATGCAGGAGAATCACCACAACCACAGGAAGACGAAGGAGATCTTGCTGACTCAAGACACGATACAGATACCCAGGTTGGCGATTCTGTTGGTGGCACCGAGAATGGTAATGCCATGATAGCCAAGGCACCATCAAACATGCCCGGGATTACTGACACCAGTGCCGAGATATACTGTAATCTCGGGTCCGATCAGCTTGTGTACAACAATGACCTCGACAGAGGACAAGCCGCAGAGACGTGTACTGATGAAGACGGCTGCTATTATAATATAGGGTAACATTTTTTCAACCCAAACTGTTGTTTCAGCAGATGCAAAAGTGGGATGTACACGATAGCATTCATGCTAGAGATATTTTTATAATAACCCAGAACATCCTACCCTTTTCGCGAGCACTTGACGTCATCACTAATTTTCACTGCTCCACTCATATTTTGTCACCAATATTTTGCCTTTTACGCCCAATGGAATCTGTTTCGTCGGATAATCGAGACTGGTTATTCTCTGGCGTTCATATTTTATATATCTACACTCTGAGGTAGAAGAACGCCTCCGTGGTCTAGTGGTAGAGCGTCCGCCCGGAGAGGGGAAGGACCGGGGTTGGATCCCTGGCCGCGTCATACCAAAAGACGTTAAAAGATGGCACTTGTTTTTACCCTGTCTGGTCGGCTCGGAGTCAGTATATACTGTGTCTGAGTGGGGTATTCATGTTAAACTGCGGCATGGTATCTCAGTGGGCTAGCACTATAAATCGGCATCAGTCCGGACTAGTACAAGCAGCCCAATCATGTCGCTATATTATAAGTGCAATAATTCTGCACGCGATGTTAACCCCATTTCACCTCACCTATGAAGTAGAACACCGGCGTGACGTCACCACGTCAAACATGTATATAGTGTTAACATATCAAGCTGACATATCCAGCTGCCATTGAACTGCTGACTGAACAGCTCATTAGATAAGGAAAATAACCATTATTACATGATGTCATTCACCTGATGAAGGGGCAAGAGATAGCCCGGAAAAGTCGTTACTAACAATAAAGAAGTTGTTTTCCATAAAGGTTTGTTGTCTTAATTATCACCATATATATTTAGTTAGTTATCGGAAACATTACTACCCGTGAACATCCGGGGTAGAATAGGTCTTCAGCAACCCATGCTTGCCGTAAAAGGCGACTATGCTTGACGTAAGAGGCGACTGACGGGATCGGGTCAGGCTCGCTGACTTGGTTGATGCAAGGCATCGATCCCAATTGCGTGGATCGATGCTCATGATGTCAGACAGCCGTCATTAAGATGGATCATATTGGAGTGAACTGCAGGGAGAATAAACCATGACGGGCGAATATTCTCACAATCCTCGAGTCAATTACCTGTACCTTTTCTCCCAAAACCGATTGTCATATCTCTTCCGCCCTATAAAAGACGTCATCAAGTTGCGAGCGCATGTTCGAATCTCAAGAAATGACGTCATGATAAAACAATGTTTTATCGTGAAATAAGCCACACTTCAGTCTTCATTGTTCATTGCTCTTTCCGATATATCGCGTAGATAAATTATATAGGGTGATAAACAACACGTCCGGATGACGTCACAAAGGTGTGTACGACGTCATGTAATCTCAAGGCTTCTCACAGTTTGTCGCCCAAGTATCCAGTGCATGATGTCAAATCTGCGGATAAGGAGGTTGGTGGAATGTACCAACCATGGGTTGAGGAAGTGACTTCAGGTGGTCCTTCGTGACGACGACATCCTCGATTATCCAGGGTATTATACGTCCAATGTATTGTGATATATTATCATAAGTCAGCGACTACGAGAGGCACATGGAAATAGAAATCTATTCTCTGATCTTCTATCCCGCGGACCCCTTCCTCATCCCGAAATATATATATATATATGCAATGTCTGCTTGATCAATAAACTTTTGACAAATGTTTCCATAAGATTAACGGGCAGACAAATATGGCCGCAAATCATTTGGCACTATGTTTTGTTTGTTTGTTGTTTAACGCCACACTCAACAATATTCCAGCTATATGACGCCGGTCTGTAAATAATCGTGTCTGAACCCGACAATCCAGTGATTGACATCATAAGCATCGATCTACACAATTTGGATACGACGACATGCATCAACCAAGTCAGCGAGCCTGACCACCCGATCCCGTTAGTCGCCTCTTACGACAAGCATGGTCGCCTTTTACGGCAAGCATGGGTTGCTGAAGACCTACACTGCCGCGGATCTTCACGGGACTGGCACTATATGATACATGGGGCGGTTCACCCAATCACTGTATTCACACGCGGTTTCTAAAGTTACTTCATTGAGCGAAATGAAAACACCGATTATTTTAAGAATGGCAATATATGATAAATAGAGTATTACCCTCGTATGTCCCTTACATAAATATAATATAAATAATTTAATTAAGACATTTTTTGCATGCATTATGATAATGTGTAGATTGCTCAAGTTATTAAAGGGTATCTCAAATTATTGTATGGTCTATTTATCTCACTTGAAAGTGTGCCATCCACGGTCTACTCAGATCGGAATGCAATCCGCGATGCGTACTGGTGGCAACATTCCCTTGGTGATATTCCCAAGGGGAAGTCCCTTCCTGAATTACCCACGGAACGCTTTTGCACACGTTCGCTGTCTGTGTCATATACAAACTGTTTTGTCATCCGCAGACCGTTATGGAATACTGCATCTCGGCACTCGTTGCAGGTAAGCAATGTGATGTTAATAGGGTGAGTTATTGATTTGGCTTATGCGGCTATATAGCAGGGCACAAGCCACATTACAGCACAAAGAATATTATAAAAAGTAAATATGTTTTTATGTAATATACTACATAATATGTACGAATATAAATAACAGGCGCGTGGGAGGGACATGGAAGATTAAAAAAGAGGCTTTTATATTTGCAAAGACAAATTGACAATGACAGTGAGGAAATATCGCGTTTGGTGTAAGGGAGATAACTCTGCATATAGGCTTCTATAACCACCATGTTTCAAAATATTTAACTCATTTTAAATCATGTGCGGTTGCGCATTTTCTGTGTATCCATTTATCATATATCAATCGCCAAGTGTAAATTAATGTTTGATTGCAATTATGGACTGGATCGTCAGGTGTTCATACGACCATACTAGGCATTTCCCCAACGGGGAACACCCTCGTACTTGTACATGCTTTTAGGGCGTTTCCGAGGCACTTTGTCCCTACACCTAAACACAGTCTCCACTGCAGGACAGTCGTCGTCGTCTGTTAGCCCACCATGATGCTTATCCACGTCACTGCCGCTTTTATTGCAGGTATGTGGGTGTGTAGACAGAATTACTTGTTGATTTATCAGTGTACAATTTACGTTTTAGAAGTAGATATGTTTCTTGCTACGATTAAATCGACAATTTTCTTCAAAAATATAAATTTGCGAAGATATTCGAAGTTTTTTATAATGTGCATTTCTGGACTTCACAAATTGTACCCATGTGGGAAATCGAACCCAGGCAATAGGCGTGACGAGCAAACGTTTGAACCATAAATAATGATGTTATATAAATGGGTATAATATGATCTTTAGATATATATTCAGTTAAATTGTGTAGCGCTGTAAGATGTGTATCCGTACGGAAACCATAATATACTGGTACAAAATAATCATATGTTAATAGAAACATCCACTAAGTATTTAGTTAGAAAATAATGTGTTTATCCGAAATCATATACAAATCGATATTTCAGTCGAGTGAAAGAACACTATAAACTGTTTTCAGCCTGGCTCGGTGACACTAGGTTTCAGGCTAAGATCATTAACAAAATATAAAACAAATAGAAAATATGATTTTTCTTTTCAAAAACAGTCTTGATCACATCTCGTGAACTGAAAAGGTTAGCATGTTCTCTCGCGAGTGCCACTCATGAATATGTAATATATATTTACAGTTCATTTGATGAGATCTTAGTTGAAAAGGAAAACATACATACGGTATCTATAAAGAACGATACAAAAGATAAATGAAGACATGTTTATACGTAAGATCTCTGACGATAGTATATGGAAACTCAAGGATGAAAAACATGCAAAGACAAACTGCGATCTAGCTTTTCTGCACATTAGAAAATGTCTGGTGTAAGGGAGACAACTCTGATCTGACGTGGCTGTTATGTTTACTTTCAAACTGTTTAATTAGTCGCATGTCATTAGTGGTTACAATACACATGTTGGGTTTAATATTCTAAACCCGCTGCCAATATGTAAATTAATGCTTTATTGCAATAATGAGCTGAGATAGGCAATCCCATGTGGTGGTTCCCCATGGGAAACTCCCATTGTAAATCCCCATTAGCTGCTGCATCTTGTCACCAACAATTCCGAAAAGGGGAAGCACCTTGGTGAATACCCTATCTGGAGATCTTTGTATTTATTTGATGCACGGCAATGTTCGTTTGTGAGGAAGTCCTGATGATATTGTGCACCAAGACCCTCCGTCTTGCAGGTATGTCAGACTAGAGGCAAGGGAATGGGTTTTAACATACTAAGTACAAGTTAGTGTGCATAAATGCATATATTAGGAGTTAATGTAATAATGATATACATATTCAGATGCAGATATGTCATACATTTACGGTATTATAATTTGATAAACGATTGAAAATAATCAATACATGTAATGCTAAGTATACACCTCACTCATTGGCTATGTATATTAATGATATATTTTCTGATACGAATATATCATACACTGATGATATTATAATACGTACCGCACATTACCTGTGATTGTACATGATAGCATGTTTTGATGATTGCATCTGACGGTATATGATATTTATATATAATACACTATGCAAGGATGATATTATTAAACCATTTATACATGTGACAAACCAGAAACTTTGATTTGATTTGATTTCCAAATAAAACGCGGGGAAGGTAAAGATTTGGGGCTAATATGTACCAATGAGAAAAGTCTGTCATACAGACCCTGAAACAAATATATCCAATATAACCCATGCTGGTCTGCAATAGTGGGCAAGTTAAGATTGCTGCAGTTCTGAAAATGATGAGAATCTCTGGGCTCCTTTTTATTAAAACAATTTAACAACTTGTTTCTGTAAAATATGTTCATTTCAGCGACTAAATGTTAGTCTACAATAAGGTCGTCATACTGAGATATTTTCTTCACATTGGACTAGTGTAAGGGAGATAACTCTGATCTTGGGTGACTATAATGTTTAATTTGAAACTGTTTAATTAGTCGCATATCATCAGTTGTTACAAGACACATTTTGGGTTAATATTCTAAATCCTCTACCAATACGTAAATTAATGCTGTATTGCACTTATGAGCTGAGGTAGACAGGCGTTCTAACAACCCCATGTGGTGGTTCCCCAAGGGAAACTCCGATTGAAAAGTCCCCACGAGCTGCATCTTGCTACGTATATTGCGAGACACGTTGTCATGTCAACCATTCGAAAAGGGGAAGCACCTTGGTGAATACCCAACCTGGAGATCTGTGTTCACTCCCTAACACAAAGTATTTA